TCATGTACTGCTGAAGCCTGGCCTTGAGAATTTTGAGTGTTACTTTGCTAGCATGTAAGATGAGTGCAATTTGCGGTAGTTTGAACATTCTTTTGCATTGCCTTTCTTTGGGATTGAAATGAAAACTGATCTGACTGTGTGTGTTTTTATAATTTAGGAACTTCTGTTGTCCTTGATAGGAACCACCCTTCTTCCCTCCTCTGGATACACATGCTTTAGTAGGAATTGAACTTACCTCCCAGTTCAAGGGGTGGATAAGTAACTCAGCCCTGGCCAAGGAGAGCACTACATCCCCCTGCTTTCAAAAACTGATTCTGAGTTTAGCCTGGATCCCAAATCAGGCCAATGAGAACCAACCCAAGTTGTCGACTGGCTGCTCTGCAAAAGAGAAACTCTTCTCTTCTGTAGGACTCCCCTGGAAAGGATGTTGGCTAGAGATGATAGCCAATATCTTGCCTTTATATGGATCCCAAGAACCAAAATTGACACTGACACAGGAGAGCAAAGCCACACTCTAGAAAAAGGTCAGATATTAATCACATTGTTTAAGCCTCTGAATCATCACCCCCTGAAGTCCAATCTACTTCTGGAGTTTTCCCTTGCTAGAGCTACTACTTTCTATTTTTGCTTAGCCCATTGTGAGATGGATTTTCTGTCATTTGCAACCAAGAGTCATAACTGATAGAGAAATATGACGAACTCACATTTACTTCCTGCAAGCAAACAAAAGTCACCTCTGGAGAGCTTAAGTTTAAAAAAAAGAAAGAAAATAAATTTGAGGGAGGGATGTGAAATGGCTCACAGAGCCAAAGGAAAAGCAGAAGTAGGTCTTTGGAAGAAATGTGTACCGAAGTGGTTCTGAGGATTCAGATAGCAGGAATGAATTATAGCATTATCAGGGCACTGCTCTGGAATAAACCAGAGCTAATCATTTACCAGCCTTGAGTCACTTCACTCAAGATTCAGATTAGCTTGAGAGAAAGAGCAAGAGAGACTATTTAGCCTTACTTGAGTCTTATGGCCAATCCTTGTCCATGGGAAGGCAGGACACTTGGATTGATAGTTCCACCAAGAGTATATACAATGGGGAAGGAATGATGCCCCAAAGTAAAATCTGTTCTAAGCACTTGGCATATATTAAAATTTTAATTCTTAGAGTAGCCCTTTGATATAGGTACTGTTATTATAATACTTGTTTTACAGATGAGGAGATTGAGACACAGATAAAGTAACCTGCCTGTGGTCACCCTGCTGGAAAGTGATAGATGCAAACCCAGGCAGCCTGGCCCCAAGGTCTATGCATTTGACCCACTACACCATAGGGCTTCTCCAGCAGAAAATAAATGAGAGCAGGGCCATAAAAACACAAGGTCCCCTGTAGGTAATGCTCATGGGAGAGAGTATGGGGAACTTCCACTCTCTATATATTATTTTTTAGCCACTGTGTATTAACAAGAAAAAAATAATTGATTTCTATTTTGAAAATTGAAAAAAAAAATTCTGCTTAGCCAATAGAGAAAAGGAAAGAGCCCAAAGCTGGTGATCTCACTCTCTCTCAGGCACTAAGAAGACTACGAAATATCTAGAACCCAGGGGAATTCCAGCTGTCACCAGGCTGCACTGAGAAGGCTGAGGAAACCCAGGGAGTCAGGAAGCGTTATCCATCATAAAGGCACCGTCTGGGACCCGCAAGGGGAGGAATGCTAGCATTTCAGTAAAGCAAACTGAAGCAGCCGGCCACTGCCTACAAATGTCTGCCTTCACCGAAACCCTGCTGGGCTCAGTTCTTCTGTGCCCCCTTTTGGGGTCTCCTACACAACCACACTGTTCCTTTTTCCCTTCAGGCTGCTCCGCCCTCCTCATTCTGCTGAGCCCCTTCCTTCAACATGCCACACAGGTGCTGCCAAGCCTGAGAACAGATCGGTCACAACTCCAGAACTTTAAGCTCCAGAACTGAAACCTCACTCCTCTGGCTCAGCCTTTAGCTACACAACAGTGGAAACAACAGCTCTGTTCTGAACACTCTCCTTTCCCAGGAACACAGGTCAGTTAGTGGTTAAGAGCGTGCACTTTGGGGACTTCCCTGGTGATCCAGTGGCTAAGACTCCAAGCCCCCAGTGCAGGGGGCCCAGGCTCAATCCCTGATCAGGGAATTAGATCCCATATGCTGCAACTAAAAGATACTGCATGCTGCAACGAAGATCAAGGATCCCACATGCCACAACCAAGACCCAATGCAGTCAAATAAATAAAAAAGAGTGTGTACTCTGGAGTGAGACAGAGGTTGGAATCCCAGCTCTGTCACTAATGGGCTGTGTTACAATGGGCAAGTTCTCTAACATTTCTGAGCTGCCAGTCACTGTCATGAAATAAAATAATGATACCAGGACTGAAATTTAGTCCCCACACACACTGGTACAGCTGGTTGTTAAAACATCAAAATATTTCTAAATTAATTGATAAATAGTTAGCCACAGCCTTGGGCTCCTATCTTCTGAGCTTCTCTCCTGCCTGCTCCCCTTGATCCAGTAACTGAAGTGTTCATTTTTGGAAGAACAGAGTCTTTGATCTAAAACTAAGGCCAGTATCCGTTCTGACTGGTAACACTTGTGCCTGAACTGGTTGTTAGATATTTCAAATGTCACCCTTGGCAGAAGTCATATTTGGGATGATACAGATAAAGGACTTGGCAGAGTGTCTGGTACATAGTGAAGCAACTCAGTCAATGTCAGTTGCTATTGCTTTAAACGTTGAATCTAAAGGGCAGAGGCAGGATCAAGATCAGGTCTCAAGTGTCTTAAGCTGGTGAAGATGGGTTATGACTGGCAGTTCAGGAACGGTCACAGGGCCTGTGATGATTCATGGGCAAGGGTGTGTGGATGTCCTGCCTGGTTTAAAGAGCCAGAGCAGGACCAATATATCCCGCTGGGCCTTGCCTTTCTAATGCCTTGGAGGATCAGAAAAGACTATTCCAATCAAAACCCTTCCCATTGAGGACCTGAAAGATCTTAAAGAGAGACAGTACTGTGTACTGGCTACAAATGTGGACTCTGGAGCCAGACTGCTTGAATTTGAATCCCAGCTCTGCAGCTTACCAGCTATGAGAACTTGGGCTGGTTATTTAAATGTTAAATGCCTCAATCTATTAAATGGGAGTGATAGAAGTACCTTCCCTGGGTACTTTCCTGGCGGTCCAGTGGTTAAAACTGCCTTTCAATGCAGGGGTTGCAGGTTCCATCCCTAATCAGGGAGCTAAGATCTCACAGATCTCAGGGCCAGAAAACCAAAACATAAAATAGAAGCAATACTGTTAACAAATTCAATAAAGACTCAAAATAGCCCACATTAAAAAAAAAAAATCTTTAAAAAAATGTACCTGCTTCAATGAGTTCTTATGAGAAATAAATTAGGCAATACATATAAAGAGTTAGAATTGTATTTGACACAAAGTAAGCTCTCTACATGTCACCTATTGTTAAGAAGCTCACAAGTGTAGCAGAGAGCAGTCAGATTCATGCCCACAAAATTCTGTCCAGAATGACAGTCTTTCTTCACCCTCCTCGTTGAAATTCTTCCCCTGCTGCCCTGGGCCTCCTGTGTCAGCTCCCAATTTTACAGATTGAGGAAGGCACAGAGAGAGAAGGGTCTTGCCCATGCTCATCCGTGCACTCCTTGGCAGAGATGGGATTCCATTTGAGTTCCAGAGTCCATTTCCATCATCTCAGGCTGCTTCTCCTCACTTGCTCATGCCTTGGATTATGATATCCATGAGCTGGAATGAGTCTTTGCTCTTCTCTGGGTTCCCAGGGCCAGGTGCTCAGGACGTGACAGAGTCAGGGTTTTCAAACACCTGTCTTTGGGATGTCACCCAACTAAGGGGCCAGGGACGTGCCAGGTATGCCGTCATTCTGCTAGTACCCCGAAGAGAAGACAAAGCCTGCAGCTGGGAGGCTGGAACAGCAAAACAGATTCAAGAGGTGAACGGACGCTTCCTAAGGAAAAAGAGAGAACTCCACTGGCTCCTCCCCAGGGAGTTTGGTTCTGAAGTTTCTGGGCTCAGCCAGAGAAACCTAGCTTCCACTCCTGGCAAGCTGGTCCTCATCCCCTATCGCCCCTCCCACCTCAACGCTCTCAAAATTGGCAATAGCCCCGCCTCTCTTTCAGCCCCCTGTTCCCCAACATCCTCTCTTCGATTCAACCAATCCCCAGAAGCCCCGCCCTACTTTTGACAGATGCCTAGACGTCCCTCCCCCACACGTGGCCCAACCCTAAGCTACCTGCTCCCCTTTCGCCCCGGATTTGGAGTAAAAGGGTTCCTTATTATCGCCTTGGGTTGGGAGCTCTCAGCTGCCAGTGCAGCTGGAGTGGGAGGCTGGGCCCGGCATTGGGGAGACCCCCAAATGCGGGAGGAGGTGTTCCCAGGGCCCTGAAACCTTCCAGACCCGCTCAGTGTAAACCGCCTCGAGCTTGTGTCAACATCCGAGGCCAGAGACTGGCGGGGGCTGGGGACAGGCTCCGTCTACGGGACAGGAAGACGGGAGGGTGGGAAATGGAGGGGTTCATGGGGCAGGCAGAGAGATACCTCTCGGGGAGATCCCGTGAGGCCTCCTGGGATTCCGTGAGAAGCAAGAAAGGCCTGACTGGGGGAAGGATCGAAATTCTAGCGTGGGGTTAGGTAGAGGCTGGGTTCTTCGCCATCCTCGCCCACCTGCCATGGCTTGGGGGGAGTGGGTGTGTTGGGGGAGGCGATGAATGATGTGAAGGCATGGGCTGCTGACCACCTCATCTCTTCCCTCCCCACTCAGTTCCTCATGGCCCTCCTCCGATTTTAGGTGGGATGTGCGGGGGAGGGGGGTCACATCTTGTGACTCATCCCCTTTTCCATCCCCACCCACGCTGGGCCCAAGAAGGAAAGGCTTAGAGCCTCTGCTGTGGTTCTTCCGTTCCCATAGCAACCGTGCGGTTGTTTTTCCGAATCCACTTCAATCGTGGACACTTTTAACCTCGGACGATGGCCTGGGGTCTGAATCTCGGGGCGGGACACAGGCGAAGGTACAGCCCTCCCCTTTTCCTCGCGACTCTGGGAAGGTCACGGCGGGCGGGCGAGGCGCGCTCCTGTAGCGGGGCCTCACTGGCCACCCGGTCCCCACCTGAAACCCCGCCTGCCACTCCGCCTCAGCCGACCCAATCAACGCCCAACATGACCGGGGGAGGCGGGGCTTATGCAAATCGTGTCGCCTTTGAGAGACACAGAGTGATACAAGAGCTGGGAGGCGGCTTCGGCGCGGACCTTGGAGAACCTGGAGGCCGGCCCGCAAGCGCGTCTCGGTCCCCGCGACCCGCGGAGGCTCAGAGTCATCCAGCGACCCGGCGAGCGGCCTCAGGTAACGCGGGTAGGGCCGGGCGAAGGCACGTATCCCCTCCCCCTCCACTCTCCATTCCCTCGTCTCCTGCTCCCTCGGATTCATCTCCCTGACCCCTGATTCCACCATAGGCGGCAGCTAATGGGGGTACCGCCCCTGGCCAGGGGACCCCCACTCCAGTCCGGGCCCCGAGGGTCCCAGGGAAGGAGGCAAAGAAGCCTCCTTAACCCCAAAGCAACAGCTGCTCTGGTCCCCAACACACACACACACACAGACACACACACACACCTGGGGGTGTGGTGGTGCTGATGCTAGAGGAACCCCTCCCCCTCCCCTGTGGGTAGTCAGCTCAGCCCCATGACCACCTCCCACCTCCACAGACATCCCCTGGCCACACCACCCAGCCCCAGGAGCAGCTCACTGCACTTCACATCACTGTGTCCCTGTCCGGAAAGACAGACTCCACCTCCACAGAGAGCCCACTCCCACTTCACACAGCCCCTCAGACCGTCCCCACCTCCACCTCACAAGCTGACAGAGCTCACAGCATACCTGGGGGCCACCCAGTTCTCCTCCTCATGACTCTCTCCCAGCAGGCCCCCCTCCCCATGGTCTCAGTGAGAGACAGAGGCCCATCTTCTGGCTCTTTCACCTGGCTTCAAGATAAACACCACCCCTCAGCAGACCACCCAGACCTGTGAATCACTGCTGCCAAGGTCCCAGCCTCCTCCGTTCCCCTCACCCCTCACGGCCAAAGCACCAAGTTTTCTCATTCCACCTCTCAAATATCGTTCTAATTCGTACCCTCTCTGGCCTTCTTGCACGCAGCCGCTCCCTCTCCCCTGTCTTCCTTCTGCTCAGTGGGAATCATGCCAAAGCTCCATGTGGACTGCATGGCTCCGTCCCTAAGGCAGCCTGAGTCTGGAGGCAGAAGAACTTGCTTTTGCCTCAGTTGCTGTTTGACCAAGTCACTTCCCTCTCTGATCTTTCATGAGATAGGAAACAGAGGGTGGGTGGGCAGGACAGAGAGTGAATCTGATGAGATGATATTGGACAACCTTCCAACACTGACGCACTCTGATTCTATGACTGACAATGAGAAAACAGGACCCTTTCTTTCTTTTCCTAAACTGTTAGGACATTTCAGAAAGGAGGTCTGAGGGGCTTTAGTCCTCACCAAAAGGACATTGCTTCTTACTCAGGCCTGGGTATGGGCCTCCCCCTTCCCACACACTCTCCAGGCTCAGGCTCCACCTTAGCAATTAGGAGTCCCTTCTTGACCAAGAGCCCACAAGGCATGTGCAGCTCCAAGGTGGAGGTGGTCAAAAAGCCCACCTTTGGTTTATCATTCCCTGCCGCTCACTGATAAGGAGAAGGAGAAAACCCGGCTATTGCCACCATGGCTGCTGCTTGGAGAAGAGCAAAGGGAGGCGAAGAAAAAGAAAAATCTCCTGACCAGGGAGCTATTGTCACCATGGCAACAGTCTCAGCACCAGCTCCTCTGAAGCTTGGTGAGGGTGTGGGATTATTGCCTCCCTCAGTCCCTCCCACCCTCTCTGCCACCTTCCCATTTGGAGCCCACAACCCTGAGTTCTGCCCTCTGAAAGAAGCCTCTGAGCCCAGAGGCACAGTGTCTTCATGCATAGGAAGTGCCAGCTTCTTCAGAGCTGGAGGCAGCCCTCAAGAGGAGCCTGCCTACGTTCAGCCAGGCTACAGCTCCAACAGAACATGCCCCCGCGGGTTCTGGCCTTCTTCTTCCTGCTGATGGACTCCACTTGACCTTGGGTGAACTCTTCCTTTCCTCAGATCTAGGTTCTGTTGTCTCTAAGTGGGTGCAATGGCAGGAGAACACAGATAAACAAAACAGTGTGATGCCATTCCAAGGAGAAAGAAGGGGGTTCTGCCCCTTGAATGTAGTCCACAAAGGGACATTCGTTGAACATCTCTGGATTCCAGAGTAGGTCTCTGCAGGGCACTTCTGTCCTGCCACAGAGGGCAGAGTGGGAACCTGTGTGGGGGCAGCTACAAGAAGGACAATGGGAATGAGGGAAGATGACTTTTCTCACTGTCCGAGCTGCTCCCAAGCACACAGGGTTATACTGGGAGAGGATAAGCTCTTTACCATGGAACAAAATGTCTGGAGAAATGTTTCTGGCCCAGACGAAGACGTAATGCAAAACTCTTCCCCAAATCAGGCTCCATTCTGGAATTCTAGAGCACCAGGTGAGGGTCAGAGAGCTCTGGAGTCTACACACCTGTCAAGGTCAACTCTGTGGCCCCACAGGTCTACTCATGCCCAGAATGCCAAGTCCAGGCTGCTGACTGTCCACTCTCCAGTCTGGGAGAGGCTGATCATAAGGAAGTGGGCTTTAGTCAGCCCTGAAGGCTGATTGTAGTTGCATCAGCCCAGAAGAGAAGGAAGGATTATGAACAACAATTGAAGTAGGTTCTGACTGAAGTATGTAGTTGTGAGGGGAGTAGTGGGAGGTAAGTCAAGACAGTTGACTTGAGACACGAGATTCTAGAGGGCTCTGGAGTTTGAGGGGACCCATGGGTATGGCAACACTTAGCCTGTATTGTACCTCTGGGCAAAACTAGAAAAGACATTCTGTTGAGCAGAGGAATCACAAGGAAAGCCCTCCCTTTGAGGCAGCTGAGCCCACAGGATGGCTTGGCAAGCAGTGCCTCAGCTGGGTTTCAGCCCCTTTGGCTGTGCCCCTGGCCCTGACTATGCAGTGGGGTGGGGGGGAGAGGATGTGGTGTACATTCCAGGAGCACGTCAAAAGAAGGAACAATAGGCCTTAGTAGCAAGTGGGACCTAGGGAAAAGGAAGAGGGGAAACTAAATGCAACTATTATTGTATTCCCTCCCTGATCCCAGGGAGGGAAGGAAGGGCGATGGAGAGAGAAGGACCATCACTGGTTGAGGGTGAATCTGGCTGTAGATTCAGAGGCCCTGGTGGTCCACCCCAAGGGTGGATATTTCCTGGGTATCAGATAGTGTGACCTGGAGCTAGCAAAATGGTTCCATTGAGGCCAAGAGGCAGATCAGAGCCATAGTTTTCCTGGTAGGCTGGTAGGAGTCTGTAGTGGACAAGAGGTGATTCAGAGAGGGCAGTCCAGGCAGGTGGCATAGATTCAACCTGGGTGTAACTCTGAGCCAGTTTTCTCCTCTCTCTGGGTTCCAGTTTTCCACTAACATAAGGGGATGATCTTAAAGGGCATCACTAACTTTGGCCTGCTGACCTAAGAGTGGTAGAAGGAATGAAGAGAGATGAAGCCTCCTTCATAGTCTCCGGTGGGCCTGGAATCAAATGGGGACTGAGAACAGGTATGGTCAGGAGACAAAATGGTGGGAAGGCAGCACACAGCAGGGGAGAGAAAAGGGGCAGAAGGTAAGAGCCACATAGACCCCACCACACACACACACACACACACACACACACACACACACACACACACATGTGTGCCTCCTGGCAGATTTGCAGTCTTCTACAATGACGTGCTCCCGCCTACTCCCACTGCTTACGCAGACACTTGGGCATGTCTCACAGGAGACAGAGGGAGAGGCTCTGCCTCCCCCATCAGACACCACTACCTCTGCGTTCTCGAACTTTCTTGACTGTACCTCAACCTTCAGTGTGCTTTGGAGGAGGGGGCAGCTGAGGGTGGAGCTCGCCTCCTTCTGCCCATGTGTGTTTCAGTTGTGCTTTTGATTCCGGTCCCAGGACAGCTGTGTGGGACCCCCTGGTTCCAGATTCCTGAAGATGGCACGCCTCCCCCTCCCTGGCTTCCCCTGGGCGCATATAAGATTCATCATCCTCTGGGGGTGGGAGGCAGGCAAGGATGTTGCTGCCTCCACTGCTCCTTGATCTTCATGGCCCTGCAGAGGGTCTGAGGTCCAGAGGTATTCTATAACTCAGGAGTTCCCAACCTCTGGGATCTAATGCCTGATGATCTGAGGTGGAGCTGATGTAATAAAGATAGATATAAAGTGCACAATAAATGCAATGCACTTGAATCATCCTGAAACCATCCCCCCACCCTGGTCTGTGGAAAAATTGTCTTCCAGGAAACAGGTCCCTGGTGCCAAAAAGGTTGGAGATCATTGCTTGAAGTCATGAAGCAAGGAGAGAGAGCATGGAACTGACCAAACTCAGACCTGGCCGTCTAGTGTACTCCCAGCAGTAAGGATTAGAAGCTAAACACAGGCATGCACTGGGCTGTGGAAGTGGAATTCCTTCTGCCAGCCTGTGGGTGTCCTTTTCCAGAGTGTCTTCATGACAGGCTATCCTGCAGCTGGGGTCTGGCACCCTTCCAAAGAGACTCCGGGTGGGTCAAATTCACCTCCCAGGTCATGTCCTGGGGAAGTCAGGCTCTAGCAGGACGTTCCCCCCAGGGAGGTCTGGCAAGAATGTCAACTCAGCCTTCAGGGCCCGCCAGGGGCCTCATTCCAGCCAGGCTTCCTGGGGAGGGTTTGTACCTCCCTCTGCAAGAACTTCCTCGGGCACAAGATACTTGAGGGCCTCATGGTCCCACTGGGGCCTGACTCTTCACCCTCCCCAAACCTGCTTCTCAGAAATACCACCTCTATCCATTCAGGATCTGAGCATTGGCTGAAGTCCTCTGTCAGTCTCAGCCCCACATCCATTCAGTCCCCAGGTCCTGCCAGTGCCCGCTCCTAGCATCTCTCAGTCCATCCACATCCCTCTACCACCCCACCCTATTGTCATCGCCTCTCACCTGAACTCTGCAGCAGAGCTGCCCCTTCTCTCCTGACCCAAGTCATCTCGTACACTGTAGCCAAGGAAAAATCTAAAAAACGCATTCCTTCTCTCTGGGTCCCCAGCACCATATTGTAAACAATCTATAAGTATTTGTGTAATGAATGTGATCTTTCCAGCCTTTGCTTTAAAGCCACAGGAGCTTCTGTGCCCCACACCAGCCTCCTTGGCATGGATTTAAGGTGCTTTACAATCAGCCTCTTTGATCTAATTATGAGTTAGTGAAGTCTGGCTCATGTTGACTTTATCCCCATCATCAGCACAGGGCCTGGCACACAGTCAGCCTCAATAAATGCTCAGGGAATGAATGAACTAATGAAAAGGAGAATGCAGTCAGAGTCATCAATGCTACCAGCTAGGATTTCTGTTTGTACAGAGGAAGGAGGGAGAGAAGCTTCTTGCTCGGGTGGCCTGGAAGGTCTTGAGGAAGGACTTGGGAGACAGCACCAGGGGAACACATGAGGAACCTGCCAGGTAGGCGAGGAGCTTGTAGCGGGGGGTAGAGGCTGAGTGCAGAGAGCTCTGAATAGCAAGGAGAGGATTACAACTATTCTATGGGTGTAGGGAGCTATGGAAGGTGTAAAGAGGAGAGGAGAGGGTGAAGACTGTGATTTGCAAACTGGTCAGTGAGAAAGGAGAGCTGAGCCCTGGGAGGCTACAGACCCTGGTTGCCAGGGGAGGAGAACTGCTGTGAGGAGAGGGGAGGCCCTGCTTGGAGAGGAGGACCTGTAATCGGGATGTAATGAGGGGAGAGCCCCCACTTTGTGTGTGGGGGAGGAGGGGAGCGGAGGAGAGGTAGAAGCTTCTACGGGAAGGAGTGTGGTGGAATGGCAGAACCCATCTGTAGGAGGTGGGGGTGTCCACCGTGGAGGTGAGAGGAGGAGGGACCCCCCCACACCCCTGCTGTGGAAGGAGGGGATCCTGACTGTGGGAACGTGGAGTTTGTTAGAGGAGGGGGCCGTTGTGGAGAAAGGGAACCCCGTCCTACAGAGACTTGGCGGAAGGCTGCTGAGGTGACGGCCTTGCCCTGGACCAAACTGAGGGAGCCCCCTTTCCCCCAGGCCCTGCCATGGGGAAGACCAACAGCAAGCTGGCCCCAGAGGTGCTGGAAGACCTGGTTCAGAACACCGAGTTCAGTGAGCAGGAGCTGAAGCAGTGGTACAAGGGCTTCCTGAAGGACTGCCCCAGCGGCATCCTCAACCTGGAGGAGTTCCAGCAGCTCTACATCAAGGTAGGCAGAGCCCAGCACTCCGGGGGCCGGCTGGAAGAGGGGGCGGGGCCTGGCAACCAGGGGGTGCGGCCGGCCGGGCGGGGGCGGGGCCAGGCAACCAGTGGGCGGGCCGCGAGCGCGGGGCTGTCGCTGCGCCCTAGCCCCTCGTGTCCTCGCCTCAGTTCTTCCCCTACGGCGACGCCTCCAAGTTCGCGCAGCACGCTTTCCGCACCTTCGACAAGAATGGCGACGGCACCATCGACTTTCGGGAGTTCATTTGCGCCCTTTCGGTCACCTCCCGCGGCAGCTTCGAGCAGAAACTCAACTGGGCCTTTGAAATGTACGACCTGGACGGTGACGGGCGCATCACGCGTCTCGAGATGCTGGAGATCATTGAGGTGGGTTGGGGTGACACGCTTCCTGTCTTCGCTGCCAGGGCCGTTCTCCAGCCACCCTCTGCTCAGGCCTCGGGAGCCCCCTTGCCGGACCCCACCACTCCCCTCCTCCCTCCTCCCTCCTCCCAGGACCCAGCGGCTAGCCTTGGTTGGGTGCTCAGGCTAGGACCGGCCTTGTGCTAAGGGCTTTTACCCAAGTCTAGGGGGTAGGTACTGTTAGAAACCCCATTTTATAGTTGAGGAAATGTATCAGGTGATGGTTCTTGATCCCAAATCTAAGAAGTCTGACTCCAGAGTCCCAAGTTCTTAACTCATTGTTCTTTCAACAAATATATATTCTTTCAGCAAGAGTCCAAGTTCTTAACTCATATTCTTTCAACAGAGACTGCCACGTGCCAGTCTTTGTTCAAAGTTCTTGCTTTCATAGGACATTCCTTCTAGCAAGAAAATTTAACAAAACAAAGCCTATGCTATGTCAGGCAGTAAGTATTACAAAGAAGATAAGCAAAGCAAAATAAGGGGAGAGGGCGATGAAGGAAAAGTGATTTTGTGTAAGGTGAGATGTGAGGAATAAGCTGGATAAAGTGAGGGAGCTAATCGCATCGGTGTCGGGGGGAAGAGTGATTTGTACATGAAAGTGTTAGTGGCTCAGTCATGTCTGACTCTCTGCGACCCCATGGACTGTAGTCGGCCAGGCTCCTCTGTCCGCGGGATTCTCCAGGCAAGAATACTGGAGTGGGTTGCCATTTCCTTCTCCAGGCGATCTTCCTGCCTCAGGGATCGAACCCAGGTCTCCTGCATTGCAGGCAGAGTCTTTACCCTCTGAGCCACGGGGAACAATAAATGCAAAGACCCCACGAGACTGTGTTTCCAGTGCTCAAGGAGTGACCAGGAGCCCAGGATGGTGGGAGAGAAGTGAGCAAGGGGGGCGTGGTAGGAAGGGGTCAGACAGGGGTCAGGAGGCCGTTTCTTGGCATCATCATCTGGGGTAGAGACTTGACTTTCTTTTAAGTGAGGGTTTCTTCTAACCCCTTAAGTGCTCTCTATTCTTCATGTGGAGCATGGACTGAGTGGGTGGGAGGGCAGCAAAAGTAGGGACAGACCAGCTGGGAGGCTTCCACAGCAGTCCGGTCACAGGGGGATGGAGGCGACAGCCATGGAGCATGGATGTAGCAGGCAGTGGCTCGTTGTTGGACCTATTCAGAATTAGGGCTGACAAAATTTGCTGTAAGATTAGACATGGGTGTGAGAAAAGGAGAGTCAAGAATGGTGTCGAGGCTTTTGGTCTGAACATCTAGAAGAATGAATTTGCTGTTCACTGAGACAGGGCCCGCTGGGGCAGAAGCAGGTTGGAGGTGAAGAGTTGGGTAGTAGACACGTTTGGTGTGAGATGCTGATTAAATAGCCAGTCTTAATGACTATATATCACCTTCCAGTATCCTCACACGGCCCCTTGTTCTCCATGCCACCCCAGGTCCCTTCATTCACCTCCAATCCTCTGTTCCCGTTGTGAGTGTTCATACCTCCCTCCTTGCCCCACCAGGCTATTTACAAGATGGTGGGCACTGTGATCATGATGCGCATGAACCAGGATGGGCTCACGCCCCAGCAGCGTGTGGACAAGATCTTCAAGAAGATGGATCAGGATAAGGATGATCAGATTACTCTGGAGGAGTTCAAGGAGGCGGCCAAGAGTGACCCGTCTATTGTGCTGCTGCTGCAATGTGACATGCAGAAGTAGAGGCGGGTGAGGGGCAGGGCCCCTGGCCAGGAGGGGCGTGGCCACCTCCCAACCCAGTGACCTCTCCAGCTGGCCCTTCCTTAGGGGGAGGGGACTCCAGCCTCACTCTCTGGCCCACCCACCCCTCTGCCCAAGCCCTTGCTCTCCTCAGTCAAGATCCTCAAGGGACCACCTCACCCTGGAATAGAGACAGATCCTCAGGTATTTAATGGTCTAGCCCCAGCCCCAGTCTTGGCCCAGAACCAACATCTGCTGGGCATAGGGGAACTGGTTTTTGCCCCAAGGTGCAGGGTGAAGGGAGGGGGGCTGGGTTCTGCTTTGAAATTCTGTTCTTCTGGGATTGTGCTTTATAGGATGTGGTCCTACAGACCCCAGTTAACAGGCCAAATTGGATCTGTCCTTCACTGAGGACCCAGAACCCTTAAGGGTGGTCTGTGCCCTACCCCCACAACTCTACCTGGCCCCTCCAGCCCCAGCCTTTGGAGTGTTCACTCAGTCCTTTCTTCAGCTAATGTTTATTGAGCACCTATTCAAGGCCAGGCACCCCTAGGTGCTAAGGCTATGGTAGTTTACAAGACACATTCTGGCCCTCTGGCAGCTCATAGGGTAGTGGTCAGGGTCTCAGACAGGGACACTGAGCTCAGGTGAGGAGAGCGTATAGTAAGGCTGGTTAGTTTGAGAGGAACAGTTAAATCTTTCTGGTCAGTTCCACACAGCGCTGCAGAAGGATGAAAGGAAAAGTATTTGGAAATCTAGGAGCCACGTCAGTGGGGATTTTAAGAAAAATTGAAATTGATATTTTTTAACACCCTTTAAAAGAGCTAAACTCATTTTATTAATTGAGGATATTAAAACATACTTTATATTACTTGGTTTCCTGTAAAATGATTAAATGAATATGGAAAGTGCTAATTTTCAGGGGGTAAAAAAGAGCTTAGAAAAAAGAGAGGAAAAATATCACCCAGCTTGCCAGATGACACGTTTTCTTATCAGGCTAAGTCCTGAACTGTCACTGTCAGCAGCTGCTGTTGCTTCCTTTTAAATGATCTTTTTTTCAATTCAGTGAGCGACTCTCTACTTAATGCTGGTTAGGTGCTGACTTCAGTAACAGAGAACATAAGGCTTGCCAAGAGTGAGACGAGTGTGGTTCCCACATCTGGATTTGGTCTAGTTTAAGGATGGACTTTGGTCTTTCACTGCTACAGAAGCAGAAGGAGCTAGAAGAAGAGGACCAGCCGGCCACTGTTTAGGCTGCCAGGCTGCATTTATGGACTAAATGCCTAAACATGTGCCGGGCATGCTCCATTTGAAAGGCTTTTTCTAACTCCCAGTCCTGAATCTGCCAGGTAATTTGTCATCTTCCAAGTACACTGGCTTTGCTTTTCAATGTCTGCTTTCCAATTTTGGATCAGTGAGCTCTACAGCTGCATGCTTTGACTGCCAGAAAATTAATCTTGCTTCTTCATCAAGTCTTTCACTTTACTTTCTCCTGTACTTATAATCAGAAATTAGCTTTGATGTGCAGTGACAGTGGATTTCCTCTTGAACTGCTGGTGAAAACAGTCTAGTTCACAGGTGCTGTCAACCCCGTGTGGGAGCAGGGAATGATTGCTGGGAATGATTCCCTTCAGGAAAGGGATGCAGCATACCTCTTACTTCTGAGTGTTCACCTGTCCTCCCTCTCTGCAGATGGAAACTCTTGGGGAAGCTGACTTTTTCCCTCAAACTCTGCTAAACCTTCCTTCTTGCTGCCCTTGGAGACAGCAAGTCCACTGAGCTGTCACCCTCTTTTTATCCTTCTGCCTATGACCAGCCGCATGGTCAGGCTGGGGAATTCACATCCTTGGGCAGTAACCAGCAAGTTTTTATCCAGTAATGCCTCAAGGGATGTTCCATCACTCTCAGGAGCTGGCCGTTCAGTCTGTTTTATGCTGTCAGTCAGCACCAGAGATATATAGGACTCTACGGCCCAGCTCAGCTTAGACTTCCAGTGGAAGGCTTTTTACAAAGTGGGGTTCCTATCCCCCAAATGTTGACTCTAACCTAATTCACAGTCACACAGAACTTAATGCTTTAAATCCTGCCATTGACCCCATCTCATTCTATCCTCACAGCCTAGGGAAATAGGATTTTTCATTCCATTTCTCCATCTTGGAAACTGAGGCACAGAGGGCGCTCCCAGCGCATGAGCACAGCCAGGAGGTGGCACAGTGCCCAGACCTGAGCCCAGGGCACCATGAGGGTTTCTTCCCTTCATAGCCTCTTCCCTGCTCACTCCTCTGACTCTGAGTGGTACAGAGGTTGACTGTAAAGAAAACTAAGTTGGTTTTGGTCCTTTACAAGCTTCCTGCTAAGAACTGTCTGAGGCTGTGGTCTTCCAAAAAGAAATAGGAGCTTGATTGAAAGCCCCACATTTTCAAACATCTTATTTTCTATTTCTGGGCAGCTCTGCTAACAGGTCAGTGTTGTCTTAGGAGCATCTGACTCAACCTTGGAAGCATCTTGCAGTATCTTTGCTCCTTCCTCCCTAAGGGAACTGTTTCTCTCTCTCTCTCTCTTTCTTTCTAACTAGTGGGTAAATCCTACTCATGAAAGCATGTTTGATCACTCCAAGCTTCTGGACACATACCATGGGTGATATTTGCTGTTCAGGTCAAAGGTTCTCAGCGATCCCAGCAGGGTGAACACATAATGTCAGGCTGGGAACTGAGACCCCCATCTTGCTCATGGGAGGAGCCACAGGCAGGCCAGGCTTTGCTCCCACATGCTCTTGGGTGTCCTGGGGACTGTGTGCTTGGGAATTCCCGTGGTAGAGCACCAACCCTGCCTTGAGAAGAGAGGGAGTCCTCCTATCCCTGCCCCAGCAAAGAGGGACTTGCCACAGAGCACAGAGTTAGCAGAGACTGAAGTGTGACTTGTATAGACACTAAAACATATAGACAGTTAAAATGTTGATACATGCAAACTCTCCCTTGAAGTTCTGTATCTTTTTGCAGCAACTTGTGAATTACAAGGTCCCCAGTCTGCCTTCTAACTGTATTCTGCCCTCATTCATCCTTTTGGGCTAATTGATGAGCCCCTTATTTCTTTCCTTTAAAAATCATCACTGGGACTTTGTGGCAGTCCAGTGCTTACGATTCTGTGCTCTGACTGCCAAGGATCCGAGTTCAATCCCTGATTGGGGAACTAAAATCCCACAAGCCAAGTGACTCAGCCAAAAAAAAAAAATATATATATAAATATATATATATAATTTTGAAGGGGAACTTCAGATGTCTTTTGAGTTGTAGTCAAGATTATATGACTTGCCTTTAAATCAAAAGTTAAGAAAAAGGAAGCCCATAAGCAAAGGCACTGAAGTTTTTCCTGACAATAGCATAGTCCCTTGAGGAAGAAATTCATCCTACTGCAGAGCAAGAGAGAAGGAGGAGAGGGGAGAGAAAGGAAAGAGAAGAGGCTGGGCAGGGGAGTAAGCTGACCCTGTAAATACTTTTACACAAAAATTTACTAAAACAACAACTATTTCCTGAAGATCCACCCTGGGTGAGGCTTTGCGCTGACTTTAGAGATCACTGTGGGGGCAAGAATACATTGCTTACATATTTTATTCATCAGTTTTGAAAAAAACGTCATTCGAAGCTGCAATTGAAAAGTCTCAGAAATATGTGGAATTTTCTTTCCAAAACTTTCAGGGTTTTCTTTTACTTTTTCCAGAGGGTGGGAGCAGGACTGGGCCGCCCAGGGCATCTGGCCCTGCTTGCTTTGGTGGAGGCCTGGAGAAGTGAGGGGGATGGGCTGGGTGGCAGAAGGGGGCCCTCCCAGCCCATTCCCCAGCGTGGCCCCCTCTCTCCTGATGCGCTGCTCCTGGCTGTGCCTGCAGTGACTGTCCTCACTGTTCGACCCTGTGCTGTGTGATGTTTGGGTTTTTTCCACTGACATTGAATAAAAAGTGTGATCGTGCTGGGGGCCTCTTCTCTTCCCCCAGTGGAGACAGGGCTGGGGTGAGAAGAAAAGGGGAGAAGAGACCTGAGGGAGCTCACACAATGGGGGAACCTTGGCATCCTCCTTGGGGCAGAGGTCCTCGTCCCAGGTTGCAGGGAACAGAGACCCATTCAAGCTAGTTCAAAGCGAGGGGTGAGCAGATGACAAGGGACCCTGAAGATGGAAATACAAGAATGGCTGGGCCTCAAGAAAACAGGAGCTGTCAGTGAGACCTCTGCCCGCTCATCTCTGGGCCTTGAGGGTTCTCATCCCCTTGGCAATATTCGCTTCTATGCTCTTTTCTTTAGTTTTTCTTAAGACCCCCTTGATTTCCCTGCACAAAGCGGCTGCTTCTTCATATCCAGACACAGCAATGACTGACAGCTCCCTTCTGTGTCCCTTAATTCAGTTTTCAAGCAAGGGAATCTGTTTGGTTCAGCTTAGCTTTTCCTGGGAGCCCTTGGTCCATTCATCAGTGCCAGACCAGATGCTGATCTGGGGGGCCTGAGGGCAGAGTACTCTCCCCAAAAGGGAGCTAGTGGCGGCAGGCCTTGGACTCAGTTTCTCCTTCTATCCAACGGAAGACATGGTAAGAGCCCACATGAGTTAATGGGCCATTAGTGGATAGAGGGCAGCCGGAGAAAGGCCGAGAGTCAGGACTACAGTTAGTCAGTCCACCTCGTGCTCTTGGCACACATTAGGAAAAGGTGCCCCTTGGAATGTAGCAATCCCATAAGCACGCAGCTAGGCCAGTAGATGGCACCTTTGAGCTAGTGAGACCAATACACCCCTTTCTGAACAATCAGCCTTGTCATGCCCCAGTTCACAGCTTGGCAAGGGGCACAGAGCCTGGATCTCAGCCCCTGCTTGCCCCCCTACTCAGGGGTGTTGTGGAGTACAGACACTGTTCCACCATCCACAGGAGCCCAGAGCCCTGAGACCCGCTTACACTGACCCAAAGGTGGTGGGCTGGGGATGGGAGTTGGTGGCAGTGTTTTTCTCAGAACAAGCCCCCCTCAACAGCCAGAGAAGCACTGTTCCCTGCAGGGAGTGGGGGCCAGTGAGGGGGGAGCGGTCAGCTGAAGGTGTCTGCTTCCTCCTGAAACGCTCAATTACTTTTACAAGGATTTTCTCAAGGACGCTTGGAGGGGGCCAGCTCCCTTGACAGGAAGCAATTAGGACAGAGGAAGGAGGCTGACCTGGCCTCAGGGCAACAGAACCTAAGGAGGTGACTCAGAGAACTGGGTGGCTGCTGTTTCCAGCTGAAGCTACACTGGAAGGAGGGAGAGCCTTGTTCCTGCCTGGTTTGAGGGCACAGGTCAGTCCACCTCCTGCTTTCACATTTGCCTTCTGCGCCATCTGGCCCCGAAGAACCAGAGTGTTCCTCCTAAAGCACGGACCTGACCATGTTAGCTTTCCAAGCCCTGCTTCTTGCTCCAGTATAATAAGCTCCTTCAAAGTCACTCTCTGCCCTGTCACCTGCTGACCTCAGAAGCCTGCTCTGCTCCCCACCACTCCTCCTGCACAAGAATCACTGTGAATTGCCCTCCATTTCCCTAAGGGATCTCTTAGGTTTCTGTGCTTATGCGCAAGCCACTGCCCCTCCCTGGGCCACCCATGCCCCTGTCTCAGTGATCTCTGTGAAGCCCTTGCAGATCTCAGGCAACTGGCCCCTCGTGTCCACACAGTCCATCATAGTCACCAAACAGCTTCCCATGCAATTCCCTGCCAGCTGAGCAGAACACACACTTACATCTCTGTTTTTAAAACATTTTTAAAGGAAATGAAGTCTCAGAGAATGGATGGTAAGGCCGGGACTTGAACTCAGATCTCTTAACTTCAAGGCCACTGTTTATCATGCATTCTCATCCGTGGGGAGTGAATCCAAATCTGAATGTGAAAGCGGAGGTAACAGACTCAAGTTCTGTGCTTCAGAGGCGGGAGAGTCTTCCCTGGCAGGCCAGGGGGTAGAGGAGGAGTAGGGGAGGAGGACAGGTGAAGGATGAAGCTCCTGTTCATCAAGAGAGCAGGAGGTGGTGTCCACCCCTGGTCTTGCTAAGGACCAGCCCACAGGGGAGCAGTTCGGGTAGAATGCTGAGTCCTCCCTAGATGGGCTTTTCCTGTGCTTTCACCTGCCACAGGGAAAGATGGGTTCTCGGCTCACATTGTGCCAAATTAATAACCCTGGAGAAGACAGAGGCAAATCTCCCAGCACCCCTATATGAGAGTATAGGAGAGTGAGTGGTGCTGCTGAGGTCATGTGCCCATCCTGGCTCAATCACTGTGTCCAGGGAAATAGGTTGTACCATTGGGCATGTCTACGACACATGCCTATTCCTGTGACCAGGGAGACAGGAGCTGCTACTAGAAGAAGAGAGTGGGAAAGGATGCTAGTCAGCAAATCCAGTAGCCACCAACTTCTGAGGAGCATTTGTAGAAGTGATGTGGAGAATCTCATGGAAATTTAGAGGTGGGCACTATAGCCAGGCTTCAAGCTAGGACTTGGGAAACTGTCAGTACCAGAAGTAACTCCCTCTCGGGGCAGCATGGTTTCTCTTTCGTGGAGTCTCTGCCTTCTGCACATTGCTTTCATCTTTATATCCTGATGGGCTCAATCTGCTCACAGAGTTTTTGCCTCCTCTTCACTTTATGTTGCAAATAACTACAGCTTGCTAAGGCCTGTCTAGGTTTCTTAGAAGCCAACTATATTTCGTAGTATTCTTAGCTTCTGTTCCTATGGTTGACTATCCAGCCTCTGTTTCCCAGTTTCCAGTTCCTGAGGAAGAGAAATCTGATTGGCCCAGATCTTTCCTTTCAACCCAGGCTACACAGGTCAAAGGTCACCAGACAGCAAGGGGATGGTTCACCTTTGCATCAGGTACTCACTGCCAGCCAAGTAAGGACTATACATTCTCCTCCTCCATGAGGCACCTGAGAATAATGGACTTTCCTAGAGTTTCATTATTTATTGTTGTGTAACAAGACACCTCAAAAGTTAATGCTGGAAACAATAAAAATATCATTTTTCATGATTCTGTGGGTTGGCTGGGCTCAGCTGGAAGGTTTTGTTGCTTCACACACTGTTGGCTGGGGTTACTCATCCCAGGGTATCCCACTAGGAGCTGGGCTGCGACTGGAACAGTTATGATCTTATTCACATGTCTGCAGCTGACAGCTGCCTGAGAAACCACTGACTTCTGATCCTCCAGGGCCTCACTGCCTCTCCATGTGACCTTTTCAGATTTCTTTACACTGTAACTGACTCCCAAGAGGGCATAAAAAAGATCTGCAAGGCCTCTTAAAGCTTAAGCTTGGAAACCACACATCACTTCTACAGCACTCTGTTAGTCAAAGCAAGACACTGGGTCAGTTTAGATTCAGTGCCACTCTGGAAAGGAGGAATGTTCAAGTCACACTGCCAAAGGGCAAGCAGGATGGGAGAGAATTTGGGGCCATTTACGGAAACAATCTACCATGAGTGGAGAAAGACAACCCTAAACATACTTCCCTCAATCTTAAAATGTTTTGTTATGATTACAGTAAGGCCCCTACATACAAACCTTCAAGTTATGAATGAAGATGTGAACGTACAACCATCTGTCCAATCGTGCCGGTTAGTTCATGTGTGTGGTGTATATTGTCACATGGGTGCCTCCTGTGCTTTTCTGTACTTTATAGCACTGTATAGAGCACAATAGTACAGTAGCTTTATTTCAAGCCCAGAATGTCTGGAAGTAAGCTTAAAAACAGTAGTGATGTAGCTGATACTGCTGTACTTTTCAAAGTATTGTAAGATTAAAAATATTTCTTTCATTTTTTGTGTTTGCTTTATATGTATTATTTATGTGAACTAGATTATAAACATATTATAGTACAGTGCTATATAACCGATTGTGTTAGTTGGGTACCTAGGCTAACTTTGTTGGACTTGCAAACAGATTGAACCTACAAATGTATTCTTGGAAGGGAATTCATTTGGATGCAGGGGACTTACTGTATTTCTTCCTTCTTCCAAGGCAGTTTGGTTGGTTCCTCCCAGGTCATGATGGAGGGTGAGCAGACCCCTGCATTCTGTACCCCCTCCCAGTCATACTTCCTCCAAGCTAAGCCAGTGTTTTTCTCCTGTTGCCCCCATCCACCTTTGCACTCTTAGACACACAGAGATGTTCTTTGTTCGCTTCCTAACCCATGCCTTGGAATGAGTGGCATCAGTGTCTGCACCTCAGGCTCTGCACCAAGGAGGACAATGCTCTAGAACTACAAGACGGTGGTCCAGGACTCCTGGATTCCTAGGCTTCTTCTCTATCCTCCTTCCTTCTCACCTCTTGAAGGCCTGTAACTAACCAAGCTCAGCCGGTGGGGCCTGGGAGGGTGCGCCCCCTGCTGGCCATCGATGGGCCAGTAGGAACCAGGAGTGTCTGGTCTGGGTCCCCGGCCCCGCCAAGGGGAGCCTGGTGTTGCCACCACCCGCCCCCACCACCCCGCCTTCAAGGGTCCCTCTGCCTTGTTGGGGCGGGGGTGGAGCTGACGGGCTGGGCCCTCCACTGTGGCCCCAGCTAGAAGCAGGTTCCTGCTCGTGGATGGAGCTGTCCATCCACCACCTCCTCCCCCTCAGTGAAGTTGTCTAGGATCCGAGGAGACTTTGCTCAGGGTTCCAGGGTCCTGGCATCAGAGGGGAAAGACCGGGGTGAGGGGGTGGGGATAGCTTTTTTATTTTGGGGGGGAGGGGGGCTAGAATTTCATTTTCTTCTTTGTGGATTACCACCCTGGGTTTAAAAAAAAAAAAAAAAGTCAGGCTTCCCCTTCTTCTGGTGCTGTTGACTGCCTGCGAACAGGATCCCCGCAATCCAGAATCCTCAATAGCCTGAAGACCTGGCTTCAGGCCCAGTCCTGCGAGCCAAAGGGTCCAGACCCTCATTAGGCTTGGGGCGGTCGGGGAAGCAGAGCTCAGTGTCCCGAAATACAACGCCACCGGCAACAGCAGCTGCACACCGACTGCCGACTGGTCGGGTTGAGCACCCGGCGCTCTGCCCTCCCTGCTGCCGGCCCGCACGCGCACTCTCCCCGCCGCTGCCCGCCCCCTTCTCACGCCCGGGACGCGCCTCTCTCCCTCCCGCAGCCCAGTCCCGCCGGCTCCGCTCTCCGCAGCTTCCTGCTCCCGCCAGGCCGGGTCAGAGCCGAGCATGGAACCCGGGGAGTCCCGGGAGCCCCGCGAGCCCGGGCCGGGAGCAGAGACCGCCGCGGCCCCGCACTGGGAGGAAGCCAAGACTTTCTATGACAACCTCGCGCCCCAGAAGAAACCCAAATCGGTAAGACCAGGGCATGGGTATGGGACGGGGCAGGGTGAGGGTCACACCCGGAGGGGTCAGCCCTTCGGAGAGGGACCCGTGGCGCCCCTCCGAGAAGGGACGCAGGTCCTCATCACCAGCATATGCCAGGCCGTTGGCACAGGCTCCGTTTTATTTTAAGAGCTCTGGTCGGGTGTTTTTTTATCTCAGGACTCCGGTTCCACGCCAGGATCCTCCTCCCCCATGCTGTCATCAGGGCCCAGCTCCGGGCCGCGGCCCAGCCGGGGGCATGGGGGCAGCACTTGTTGGCAAAGCCGGTCAGCGGCGCCTGCAGCAGCGCCGGGGCTCAGGTAACCGGACTCTGTAAACCCGGCTCCTTGCTGTGCGCTCCGGTTTCTGCCATCCTGCGCACAGGGCTCCGGCTCGGGGTGCTGGGCTCCCTGGGTTTTAAGAGAAGGGAGCTGCTCTGGAATCTGCGCTCTGAGCTTAGGGCTCTGCGTCCCTGGCTCTGGGGTCCCAGCGCTGGACTGTGCCCCAGCTCCGGGCTCTGCTCCCCTCACAGGGTAGCCCTCGCTGGCATCAGCGTTTCTGCTACCTAGGTGGTCGCCTCAGCCCTCCAGGACTCACACGGAGGAGTCTCCTCTCCCCTTGGTTCCTGGGCCTTGCTCACACCAACTTCCCCGATCTCAGAGCCTGGGAAGGGGATGGAGAATGGAAGCTGGTTCAGAGCATCCTCCAAAGAGCTCCAAACTGACCTTAAAGCACTCTGCTGCTTCCCTCCCGTGAGGCCCACCTTGTCAACAGTCGTTCCCTGCTGCACCTCCAGTCCTGCTGAGCAGTGCAGATGGAGAGATGAATTAGGCTGAGTCCCTGCCCCAGGAGCTCACAGAGACCCTAGATATGGTGAATGCCCAGGTGAAAACCTTAGCAGTGGGAGCGGAAGGGAGGCAGTGACCACCAACTCAGGAATTCTTGTAGAGGTGGCTTGATTTGAGCTGATCTTAAAGCCTGAGTAGGTGGACCTTCCCAGACAGGGAAACAGGATAAGCAAAAGACACATGGTCGATGTCTTTGAAACTGAGTGAGAAAATAAAATGCAGGATCTTTAGGAGAGCAACTGGGGAGATGCCAGAGACCCACAGAGGGCCTTGAGTGCTGCATTAAAAAATCCAGATCTTAGTCAATGGGGTTAGAGGTCTTAACATTAGGCTCTATGAAAACCCATGTTTCAGGGTGTCTGCTTACAGGTGAAGTCAATTCATTTTCTTTCTTCCTCAAACTATGTTTTACAAAAGTAAAAATATGTGATGAAATTCAGCTCACTCAAATGTGTTATTGGACATTTTAGCACCTTGGAGACTGCCAATGTGTTACCTTATGCTAAAGGTCGATTATCTTTTTTAGCAAACCTCAGAAAAAAGCTTTTATGGTGATCTGTTTTAATAGAAGAGTATCGTGAGATTGCTGACAATTGTGGTTGAGTTTCCCAAGGCTTGTAGTTTAAAATAGAACAAAACAAAAAAGCCTTTTTACCATTCGCAGCCACTTATTGGTATGAATCAGGACTTTCTCAATGCTGTGCAAAAACCAGCAAATTGAAACATAAACAAACTGACTAGATGATGAAGTTTAAATCCTCACTGGTCTCCTGTATTCATTGGTGGACATTAAATATAAATATACCATGAACATCTGAATACATAATACATTTGAATTCATGTGTGTGAAAGTGAAAGTCGCTCAGTCGTGTCCGACTCTTTGTGACCCCATGTACCATGTAATTCTGTACCATGGAACTGTACCATGGAATTCTCCAGGCCAGAACACTGGAGTGGGTAGCCTTTTCCTCCTCTAGGGGATTTTCCCAACCCAGGGATCAAACCCAGGTCTCCAGCATTGCAGGCAGGTTCTTTACCAGCTGAGCCACAAGGGAAGCCCAAGAATACTGGAGTGGGTAGCCTATCCCTTCTCCAGGGGATCTTCCTGACCCAGGAATTGAACCAGGGCCTCCTGCATTGCAGGCGGATTCTTTGCCAACTGAGCTATCAGGGAAGCCTGTTGAATTCATGGAATGAATTTATACCAACAAAATATGGTACTATAGGGTTTACATATTGGGGCTCCCCCAAAAAAGTTTATTTGCATCAAATGTCAACCTACTTTTTAAACAAGTATGAAAACCATTATGAGCTACCACAGGACTTTTCAACAAGGTATTAACTTGGTTTGTTTTCATTTTAGCAAGTCACTTTGCTAAAGTGAGGCTGTGTTTGCGGATGGCTTGGAGAGGGTGTGCCTGGTAACAGGCAGAGCAGTGAAGAGGCTGGTTCCTGCCTGGGGAGGAAGCTGGATTAATATCGCGGCCTGAGGGATGGAAAGAAGGGGATGGAGACGAGGGTAGTGAGTGGAGCCCACCTGTCCGTTTCCTCTGGGAGCTCAGGCCCAGTCGTCAGTTATGACCTCTTGTCTGGTATGACCTCTCAGTCAGTCCCTGGGCCTTGTCATCCTCTGGGGGGCAAGGAGACTGGCGGCTTCCTGGCCCCTACTCCTTCCTGCGGGAACCCCACCCCACAGGCTATTTCGGGGGCTTTGGGCCTCCTGGGCCCCATGCTGGTCTGGCCTAGGCTTATTCTCATCCCCTAGTTCCTGAGTGAAATAGTTAACCCCGAAGGTCTATATGAGGCCCTCACCTCAAGAGGTCAGAGGACTTCCTCAGTCCAGACCTGTCTTGTTCCCCTCTCCTCCAGCAGTTCCTCGGCCTCTGAGTCCTTCTAGAAACAGCAGCTTGTGGCTGTGTTCCTATCTTGGGCCCAACAGGCAAAAGCCCAGGGCCTCAACGCGAGCTCCTCGGGCAGGCAGGGTGGGGCTAGGTTGCCCTGCATGATGCCTCAATCCTTGTCCCTGAAGCAGCAGTAGCCAGCCGGTCCCCCAACACCACTCCAATGAAAGACAGAGAGAGCTGGTGGGACCTGGCTCCTTGGAGCCCAGAGCTCCTAGACTGAGACTTTGGTCTGGTGTAAGGGTCTTTCTGACCCACGGTTCAGTCTGGTGTGTGGACTTCTTTCTGATTTCTGGAGGAACTAGGGTTCCTCTAACTTGGGTTAGGGTTCAGGTTAGGTGCACCTGATGGTACGTGACGGGGTGACCTCCCTCCACAGCGAGGTCCAAGGACATCTCTAGGTGCTTGGCTTCTCCCCAGCTCTGAGCAGCCCCTTTTCCCTGTTCTTTCAGCTCTGCCTGGAGCCCGGACAGGCTGTTCCTGTCTCCCAGCTGGGATCTGAATTTCCCACACCAGCTAAGGCCCTCTAGGCCCTTAGACTCCTCCTCACTTGTACAGAGTCAGAGCAGGCTAAGCAGGAGAGCAGGGTTCCATCCTGGGACTCTCCATTTTGGGGTAAAGAGTCCTACCCTTAGAAACCTCTGTCTGAAGGCATGGTGCCCCTCACCAGTTCCCCCAGATCTGGAAAGGGAGGGCAGGGGGGTAGGGAAGCATCCAGGACAGTGCTGAAGTAGTGGGGGTTGGGGTCTTCCAGGAGTGATTGAGGAGGGAAGTAGAGGTGGGTGGTGCTGCTGTGTGGACAGAGGCCAGAGGCTTAGGATCTTATCCTGGCTCTGCCGTGGCTTTGCTGGATGACCTCGAGTAATACTCTGCCCATCTCTGGGCCTTTTTCCCCATCTGTCAAAGAAGGAAATAGAGGCTCCTGGGACTGAGGCAGCTGGGACCTTTTCCTTGCAATGGCCAGAGGTGGGATGCAGTGGGATATAGGCAGGTCAGCCGGAGAAGACCCAGGACACAGCAGTCTGGCAGGGACTGTGGGACAGAAAGTGAGGAGCGAGACCTTGGATGGCTGCCTAGGCTGGAACGGCAGCTTGGGAACCTGCCTGAAGGGGCTGGGAGGGAAGCTGGCTCTCTGTCCTTGAAGGGGTGATGGGCCTGTCCCTGGGGCAGTAAGCTTAGGGAGCAAGGCAAGCTCAGCTCCTGCCTTGAAGGGCAGCAGACCTCCTGGGTTTATGAGAGCGGGTCTCCCCATCCCCCCAACTGTACCCTTACTGTCCCAGGCCATCCCTCTGTTACCCCTTTTTTTAAATTTTTACCTTCCTTCCGTGAAGGCTCACAGTGGCTGAGGGGGTTGGGAGGTACCCAGCCCAAGGACACACAGACACGGGTGGTGGCTGGCAGCTGACAGAGTTACTGGGCTGAGCCCCAGAGGACGATCACCTGTCCTGCCAACACCTTAGACTTGCCCTGCTGGCCCCACACACTGTCTTGACTGGGGTAAAAGTCAAATGCAAACTGAGGTCTGCCTCATGAGTCTGGGGACTCTGGTCTGTTCCTACTTTGAGGTTCTAAAGGTTCATTAGCCACTATGGCTACTTAAGTTTAAACTGATTAAAATGACATGCAATTAAAGATTCAGTTCTTCCTTCTCACTGGCCGCATTTCAAGTGGCTTCCTAGCCACATGCAGTCACATGGACAGCATTGGACATTCGCATTTTCACAGAGGGGTCTACTGGACATGTTCCTCTGCAGGCGGCATGGACCTCTGCCTTGGGGGTAGGCCATAAGCTCCCTGGGGGCAGGGTCACATCTGTATGGTTTGCAGCCAGGTCCCCCACACAGTGCCTGTCACGTGATCATCACTCAGTCTTGTCAACTGATTGGGACCTAGACTTGACTCCAGAGGGAAAAAATGGGATTGACTGCGTGGCCAGCAGGGCCGTTAGGAGCAGGCCACAATGCAAGGTCTGTTTAGGAGCCTTGCGCCCAACCTGAGTCCCTGTTTCCTCATCTGTCCAGTGGGAACCATGGTCCCAGGATTGCTCAAGTCACAGAGATGTGGTGGGACTCTAGACAACGGTGAGTCCCTTGGGGACCTGCATTCTCATCCTCCCCAGGGATTATGCATGATCCAGCTGCCGCCTGTGATGGCATTCCCTTCTCGCTATTCCATGGGAGGTGCTGAGGAGTTCTGAGAGCCTCATGGGCCCCTGAAAGAAGGCCTTCTGGCATCTGCCTATTCTTCTGGGCTCAGCTACACTCTGCCTCCATGCACAGGGCTCTGCTCACCTTTGCGAAGGCACGGCGTGTGTTCACACCTCCTCATGCCTTCCTTCACCCCACTCCTCCAAGGCTCTGCTGAGATGCCTCCTCTCCCATAGCAGCTTCCTCTGAACTTCGCTTTCACTTGGTTCTAGCATTCATTTCAGGCCCTTTTGCATCTCTGTTTATCCGTCTTTCTCCCCCACCAGCTTCCGACTCTCCGGGCAGGAACCGAGTCTCTACCAGGACCAGCCTCAGGCAGAACCCAGGTGCTTGGCACAAAAAACCAATGAACGTTGGTCAAATCTGCATCAACTCAAACAGTCTTCTCTCAGCATCTACTGTATTTCAAGCAGTTTGAATAGATAAGGGCACTGCAGTGGAGTTTCTAGTTCTTGTTAAATTTGTTATGGCAAAAACTGTCTCTCATTAAAATATATTGCTTAAAAGTTCAGAGACATTAAATATTTACTGAGCACCTACTATATGCTAAACACAGTTTGGAGGACTAGAGATACTATAAATGAACAAGATAACTCTTGTTCCTGCTCCCTCAGAACTAAGCATGGTTCCTGCTTCTAGAACTCTGCCTAGAAATAGAAATAGTTAAATAAGCAATAGGGCTTCCCTGGTGGCTCAGTGGTAAATAATCCACCTGGCAATGCAAGAAACTTGGGTTTGGTCCCTGGGGTTGGGAAGAGCCCCTCGAGTAGGAAATAGTAACCCATTCCAGTATTCTTGCCTGGGAAATCCCATGGACACAGGACAGTTGTGGGTTACAGCCCTTGGGGTCGCAAAAGAGTCAGACATGACTTAATGACTAAATCAGTTCAGTTCAGTCGCTCAGTCATGTCCAACTCTTTGCGACCCCATGAGCTGCAGCACTCCAGGCCTCCCTGTCCAACACCAGCTCCCAGAGCCTACCCAAACTCATGTCCATTGAGTTGGTGATGCCGTCCAACCATCTCATCCTCTGTCGTCCCCTTCTCCTTCTGCCCTCAATCTTTCTCAGCAACAGAGTCTTGTCGAATGAGTCAGCTCTTCGCATCAGATGGCCAAAGTACTGGAGTTTCAGCTTCAACATCAGTCCCTCCAATGAACACCCAGGACTGATCTCCTCTAGGATGGACTGATTGGATCTCCTTGCAGTCCAAGGGACTCTCAAGAGTCTTCTCCAACACCACAGTTCAAAAGCATCAATTCTTCAGCACTCAGCTTTATTCACAGTCCAACTGTCACATCCATACATGACTATTGGAAAAACCATAGCCTTGACTAGATGGACCTTTGTTGGCAAAGTAATATCTCTGCTTTTTAATATGCTATCTAGGTTGGTTATAACTTTCCATCCAAGGAGTAAGCATCTTTTGATTTCATGGTTGCAATCACCATCTGCTGTGATTTTGGAGCCCAAAAAAATAAAGTCTCTCATTCTTTCCACTGTTTCCCCATCTATTTCCCATGAAGTGATGGGACCTGATGCCATGATCTTGGTTTTCTGAATGTTGAGCTTTAAGCCAACTTTTTCACTCTCCTCTTTCACTTTCATCAAGAGGCTCTTTAGTTCTTCTTCCCTTTCTGCCGTACGACTAAGTAACAACAACAAATAAGCAATTATGCATGTGTATAGTTGTTGTTTGGGCTTCCCTGGTGGCTCAGAGGTTAAAGCGTCTGCCCGCAATGCGGGAGACCTGGGTTTGATCCCTTGGTCAGGAAGATCCCCTAGAGAAGGAAATGGCAACCCACTCCAGTATTCTTGCCTGGAGAATCCCATGGATGGAGGAGCGTGGTTGGCTAGAGTCCATGGGGTCACAAAGGGTCGGACACGACTGAGCGACTTGATGACAACGACGATAGTCCAGAGGTTTATTGAAAATATTACAGCAGAGCAGAAAGATTCAAATGGCTCCACATGGTGTTTTTAAATCTATCCCAACTGTAGGCTGAGTGACCAGCATATTGGACAGACTACCAAAGTCCAAGAGAGTCAGCATTTCCTTAGTGTCAGGATCTACTTCAATGAATTTTACTAAAAGGAAAACATTTACTAAATTTACTAAATTTTTACTAAAAAGGAAATTGGTAGGAAAGGTAGCAAGCCCATTACTAGGGATAAAGGATGGTTTTGTAAAGATGACATGTAGTCTGAGACCTGAGGGTTGAGTAGAACTTAGCTGGATGGGGAGGCAGGGAAACAGCAAATCAGTCAGAGGAAACATCCAGTGCAAAAGTTCAGAGAAGGGGCGGGGGAAGATGTGCTCAGACATGAGAAACGTCAGATAGAGCAAAGCAGGGTAACGAGAAGGTAAGAGAGGAGACAGAGGTAGGGGTCTGTCATGGAGGGCTTCCTACTCCATCCTCAAGGCTGCTGTTCAGAATGTGAGAAGAATTTGATGACAGTGTGTGTGTGTGTGCTAAGCCACTTCATTTGTGTCTGACTCTTTGTGACCCTATGGACTGTAGCCCACCAGGCTCCTCCGTCCATGGGATTTTCCAAGCAAGAATATTGGAGTGGGTTGTCATGCCCTCCTCCAGTGGATCTTCCCAACCCAGGGATTGAACCTGAATCTCTTATGTCTTCTGCATTGGCAGGCAGGTTCTTTACCACACAGAGGGCGCTACTGAAGGGGATGGGCATGATCAGATCTGAATTTGAGAAAAATCCCCTGATAACAATATGGACCACATATTGGAGGGAATAAGAGATGGTGATGGCTGGTCCATGGTAGGGAAGACAGGAGGAAGTGGATGGTTTCTAGTAGAGTGGATAGGTTTTGGTGACTGACTGATGGGGGAAGGGAGAGACGAAGAGGGAAGACTTGAGGTCGACTTCCGGGCTCTGGGCTGCGTGATGAGTGCTTGGTGGTGCGGAGCACTGAGATGAGGCTTGAGGGTGGACAGATTGCTGTCCTTGGGAATTCAGCCTTGGGCATGATGAGTCTGAGTGTTTGTTAGTCAACTGGGCAGTTAGAAATAACAGTCTGGAGCTCAGGAGAAAGATCTGGGCTGGAGACAGATTTTCTTCTATAATTGTCATGCTTCTGGGCACCATTTCTTCCCAAGGGCATGTAGCTCCCATTTTACAATGGAACCCTTCTGAAGACCATCTTGAGCATCAATCATACTTTAGCTGCTTACACTGTATTCATTTTTCTGTCATGTCAAGATGGCCAACTAGACTGAAAACTCCCCAAGGACATGTGCCTCTCACCAGATTGTGCTCCTCCATGGGGAGTCATCGTTTCCCCCCAGTCCCCAGCTGGGTTCTTCACCAGAGGGGATCCTAATCTAGGTCTGTCCCTGCCCAAGACTGAGCTCCTTAGGGCAGAGGCCGGGCCTGGGGCCTCTCCCTGTCCCCAGTTCCCAGAGGGGCTGGTACTTGAGACCTGCCTCAGGGAAGTCTGAGGGTCGACCCCTTCTACTGCATCCCTGCAGCCCAAGCCTCAGAATGCCGTCACCATCGCTGTGTCCTCCCGAGCCCTGTTCCGCATGGACGAGGAGCAGCGGATCTACACGGAGCAAGGTGTGGAGGAATATGTGCGCTACCAGCTGGAACATGAGAACGAGCCCTTCAGCCCTGGACCAGCCTTCCCCTTCGTGAAGGTGAGGGGCAGTCCCACCACTGGCCATACAAAACCTTCATGGGTATTAGCTAAAAGCCCTCCCATGGGAGTTTGGGGTTGGTAGATTACATTTAGGATGGATAAACAAGGTCCTACTATATAGCACAGTATATTCAATATATATATATATATATTCAATATCCTGTGATAAACCATAATGGAAAAAATATGAAAAAGGAATGTATAAAAAAGCATATTCTGCTGCAAATCTTGTTATAATTTCAGACGTAGTGTTCATCCAAGGAACACTATTGTTGTTGTTGTTTTAATCTTTATTTATTTGGCTACACTGGGTCTTAACTGTGGCATGCGAACCCTTACTTGTCACATGTGGGATCTAGTTTCCTGTCCAGGGATCAAATCTGGGCCCCCTGCATTGGGAGCCCATGGTCTTAGCCACTGGACCACCAGGGAAGTCCCCCCAAAGAACACTGTCTTTTATTACAGGTTAACTATTTGGAGAAGAACATAATAATGTAACTGAAAAATACCTTGATCTAATACATTGAATTATTTTATATTTTGTATTTACTATTATCTACTGAATTTGCTTTCACTTATTTAAAGAAATCTTAATTACTTCTGATTTTTTAAAAAAGAAAAGCACTCCCATAGGGGTTTGAATAAAGGAAAAGGGTCCCCTCTGGGTAGTGCTACCCCACAGGACCGTGACTTGGCAAGGGGACAGCCACTGTGGGAAGAAGAGTCCTCCCCATCCCCTGGACGAATACAGCCCCACCTCAGATAACCAGCTTAGCTCGTGGAACCTGAGCTGAATTTCGACTTCCACTCACCCTTTTAGTGAGGCATCGAAATCTAATAATTTGCATTATTGTATGGGCAATAATCAACCCATACAAAGACAGAGATTAGGGGGTGATTGTCCATGTCCACTGCTCTGACCTCGAGTCCAGCCCCTGACTTCCCCTCCCCTCCCAGTATTGGATCCCAGCCCACCCCACATCCCCAACCCTGGCTACTAACACCAGGCATCAGTCCTTGGGCGGTCTGAGCCCTAGGACCCACTTTGCTATCCAGGCTCTGGAGGCTGTGAACAGGCGGCTGCGGGAGCTGTACCCTGAGAGTGAGGACCTCTTCGACATCGTCCTGGTGACCAACAACCACGCTCAAGTGGGTGTCCGTCTCATCAACAGCATCAACCACTATGGTAAGCATGACAGCTTTGGCCATGACATGATCCCTAGCGGACACCCAGGGTTGGCATCACACCTCTGCAGTGTGCAGGTATGCCCACTGGAATCTCAAGCCAAGTGGGGTGCTGGTAAATAAGCTCTTTCAAAAAACAAAACAACCCCCCCAAACTCTGATCATAGCGTTGTCATTTTCAGGGTGTAAATATTCCCACTGTGGCTGATGTCAAGCTACCAATAACTGAACAATCTAACTAGCTCCCAAAGTACCTGATTGTTTAGCATTTGGCCCTTGCAAGTTGGTACAAGCCAGCTCCAGCACATCCTTGCACAGGCCCCACTTCCTTCATGATCCGACAAGATATTTGCTGTCTCCGTGCCTCAGTTTCTGTTTGCAGTGGGGCTGACAGGTCTTACAGGGCTGCTGCGGGAGGCAGGTCTAGTCATCAGAGTGAAGGGACTTTGTGTCTTAGTCCAAACTCTTGATTGAAAGTAATGGACCCTCTAGAGCCAGGCTTAGCTCGAGAGAATGATTTCTTACTAGGTTATTGGAGTGCCTCTTGGAACCACGGGGAGGGAGGTAAAATTGAGCCCAAAGGGCCTGAATTCAAGTACTGGTGATCTCTCCAGGGTTCTTTTTCTCTCTGGACCACAAGAGCCCTAATTTCTGCTTCTCTCAGAAAATCCATTCTTTTTTTCCTTGTCTCTTTCTCTTTCTCCAAACTATGTTTCTTTGTTTTTCTTGAATATGGCCCAAATTTACAAGTTTACGAGTCCTTGTTTTCAGCAATCAAGAGAGCGAGTTGGCATTATTTTAATCCTAATTTCAAATTGTTGGAAGCAGGGGTGATATTCAAAATATTTACCTGTTTTGTGGCACAAGCACTGAGGAGTCAGGACAGACACCACCTATGGCACCGAGGCAGGGGTCTGCCCTGCCCTTCCATGGTGGACTGTCCTGTGTGCGGGGCTGGGGCAATGATGGGGCAACTCCGTGGGTTCAGAGCAGCAGCTGTTGACTGACAAGCGAAGTTTTACAACCTACACAGACTTGGGTACCAGGTGACTATCAGCCCAGACTGCAAGAGAATCTGACTGGCCCAGCTTGAGGCAGGCACCTACCCCGATACAATTGACTATGATGAGGAAGGATCGACCACATGCCACGTGGCTGGGAACCTGCCTTTGCAGTACTGTGGTTCCCTGACAAGGGGGTATTACTGTGAGCCAGGCAGCCCCTTCAGAGATGTGCTCATCAGCATTCGTGGATGAAGGATGGAGTGGGGGGGACTCAAAGAGAGGGAACGCTGGCCTAAAACCACTCAGAGAATCGCTCTGCTGCCCCACCACCACTCAGAACCAAGATGGCATCCATTGGACACGGAGGGACCACTCTGAGGTGCTGAGGGTTGACCCAGACATCACCTGGCTACTTTCTACCTCCTCCCCAGACCTGTTCATTGAGAGGTTCTGCATGACAGGCGGCAACAGCCCCATCTGCTACCTCAAGGCCTATCACACCAACCTCTACCTGTCGGCTGATGCAGAAAAAGTGCAGGAAGCCATTGATGAAGGTGAGTCAAGCTGGAGAAGGAGAGTGTGGGGGATCTGGCAGAGAGGAGTGTGAGGAGCCAGTCTCAGAGATGGGCAGCCCGGTCCTAAAGCTCTGCGCAGGCGCTAGGTGTTGCCATGGTAACTGGAAGGGCGGCACCTCCCTTAATTCCTATGACCTGTCCTGTAAACCCTGAGAACAGGCCCCATCTGTTTCACTCGTTGCCCATCTAGTTCCCTCTCCCACCTCCTGCCCTACCATATTAAAGGATGCTTTTACTCACCCACATCACCCAGATGTCAGTTTCTGTGGGAACGCTCTTTACAGCCCAGAAAGCTGTTCCCTTCTAAAGAAATCCTCCAGGTCAGTAGGAGTTCTGATTCCTGTGTGACCATGGGCAGCCTCTGTCCCTCTCTGGGCCAGTGAGGAAGGAGATCAGTACTTGTCTAGCAAAGTGTATAGCAAAGTGAGTCAGTTAGACATATATTCGTTCTCTTTTAGAGTCTTTCCTTATATAGGTTATCACAGAATATTGAATAGAGTTCCCCGTGCTATACAGTAGGTGGCTCTCTATCTTATATATAGTAGTGTGTGTATGTTCATCCCAAGCTTCTAACTTACCTCTCCCACCAATATTTCCCCTTTGGAAACTATAAGTTTGCTTTGCAGCCAACAATGTGTTCACTTACTTCTTCCTCTCTCATGCTATCTCCTACCTAGAAGCCTGTCCTCTCTCCCTGCTGAGACCTACTCACCTGAGCTGCTTGGGGCTCCAAGAGGTTTTCTTTCAGCCCAAAGCAGAACCCATTTTCCTAGACAGATGTCACACCCTCTGGTTGGGACTTGGCACTGTCCTGCCTGAGTCCCTCTATATGTCTTTAAGTTAAGCCAAGGCTGGGGAGCAGGGCATAGTCAGAAGGGAGGCCCTGCTCAAGATCAGATGATTCTGGTTCATCCTGGCTGTAGCACTGGCAAAGCTGAGAAGGAACCTGGCCTGATGTCCTGGCCTGATGCTTATAGCATCCTCAGGCTTAGTGAAGGTGAGGTGAAGCTGGCATTGCTCACTCCTCCCAAAGCTCTGCCTCTGCCCAGGCCCAAGGACCTAGATCCCCAAAGAGCAGGGCTGACGTGGCATTTGGAGAGGTAAAGAATCGAGGATGGGCTGAACACACTGCCCAGGTCTCCAGCTTCCTGAAACTGCTCTCTGTCATCCAGTGAGCTCTAGCCTGAAGCTGGGGTTTGCAACAGGCATACTGGGCCCCATGGAGAAGTCCTGAGTCTGTACACAGAGTCACATGTCATTAGTGCTGCCTCCTATGGCCACCCACATTGCCCCAGGGAAACTTTAAAGACCAGGCAGCCCTGAGTAGGGCATGTGGGGGTGGTTTACCTGCTAAGTCATGTCCTATTCTTGAAACCCCATGGATTGTAGCCTGCCAGACTCCTCTGTCCATGGGATTTTCCAAGCAAGAATATTGGAGTGGGTTTCTATTTGCTTTTCCAAGGGGTCTTTCTGACCCAGGGATCAAACCAAGGTATTCTGCATTGCAGGCAGATTGTTTACCATCTGAGCCACCAGGGAGTAGGGCATGCCTGGCTGCAAACTAGGGGGTGCCCACAGTGCCCCCATCCCAGACTGAAGCCTGGGATCCCTGGACAGAGCTGAAGCATCCTTAATTTTATCTGGGTCCAGAGAGGGTGAGGGACTTGCAGGAACCAACAGTAAGAGAGTAACTGAGGCCCAGCCAGGGTCAGGAGTCCTTCCTGGCCCCCTGTAGATCTACATCAGGGGCCTGTGAGGAGCCCCAGGAAGGACAGTGGTGGCCTGGGGGGCCCTGCCTTCCACTCAGGACTGGTTCAACTGTCCATACCAGTATGGCCTTGCTAAAGTATTGAAGAACTAGAGCCTCTTGATGAAAGTGAAAGAGGAGAGGGGAAAAGTTGGCTTAAAGCTCAAAATTCAGAAAACTAAGATCATGGCATCCAGTCCCATCACTTCATGGCAAATAGATGGGGTAACAATGGAAACACTGGGTTTGGACTAGCATATTAAAAAGCGGAGACATTACTTTGCCAACAAAGGTCCATCTAGTCAAGGCTATGGTTTTTCCAGTGGTCATGTGTGGATGTGAGAGTTGGACTGTGAAGAAAGCTGAATGCTGAAAAATTGATGCTTTTAAACTGTGGTGTTGGAGAAGACTCTTGAGAGTCCCTTAGACAGCAAGGAGATCCAACCAGTCCATCCTGAAGGAGATCAGTCCTGGGTGTTCATTGGAAGGACTGATGCTGAAGCTGAAACTCCAATACTCTGGCCACCTCATGTGAAGAGTTGACTCATTGGAAAAGACCCTAATGCTGGGAGGGATTTGGGGTAAGAGGAGAATGGGATGACAGAGGATGAGATGGCTGGATGGCATCACTGACTCGATGGACATGGGTTTGAGTAAACTCCAGGAGTTGGTGATGGACAGGGAGGCCTGCCGTGCTGCAATTCATGGGGTTGCAAAGAGTCAGACACAACTGAGCGAATGAACTGAACTGAACTGAATGGAAACAGTGACTGACTTTATTTTTAGGGGGCTCCAAAATCACTGCAGATGGTGATTTCAGCCTTGAAATTAAAAGACGTTTTTCCTTGGAAGAAAAGTTAAGACCAACCTAGACAGCATGTTAAAAAGCAGAGACATTACTTTGCCACCAAAGGTCCCTCTAGTCAAAGCTATGGTTTTTCCAGTAGTCATATATGGATGTGAGAGTTGGACTGTGAAGAAAGCTGAGCACCGAAGAATTGATGCTTTTGAACTGTGGTGTTGGAGAAGACTCTTGAGAGTCCCTTGGACAGCAAGGAGATCCAACCAGTCCATCCTGAAGGAGATCAGTCCTGGGTGTGCATTGGAAGGACTGATGTTGAAGCTGAAGCTCCAATACTTTGGCCACCTGATGGGAAGAACTGACTCATTAGAAAGGACCCTGTTGCTGAGAAAGATTGAAGGCGGGAGGAGAAGGGGATGACAGAGGATGAGATGATTAGATGACATTATCGACTCAATGAACATGAGTTTGAGTAAACTCCGGGAGTTGGTGATGGACAGGGAAGCCTGGTGTGCTGCAGTCCATGGGGTTGCAGAGTCAGACACGACTGACTGAACTGAAAGTATTGAAAGTCCCCCATACTGGTTGATAAATATTAATAGCTCCTGCCCTATGTCTTCCAAGTGCCCTCCTGTTTGCTGGGACCCCCTCCCCCCAGACCTTCCCTCAAAGCAGCAACTGAAGGGGAAACCCTGGCATAGGCCGGGGTCCTCAGAGCCCTACTCAGAGATAAAACCACTGTCCCTTCTTTTTTCTTTTTGACCTCACTTCATGCAGCATGTGGGATCTTAGTTCCTCAACTGAGGATCAAACCTGCGTCCCTTACAATGGAAGTGTGGAGTCTTAACCACTGGACTGACAGGAAGCTCCCTCCACTGTCCACTCTTACTGGCCTATTTTGTAATATTCTGAATGCTGGCCTTCCTTCGCTGGGCCCAGGTGAGGTAGGTGGGGCAAGGAGAGGGTGAGGTAGCCCTCTCCCGGCCCCCCAGGCAGCTGAGGCGGTGTCGGGGCGCCGATTATCCAGTCAAGGGCGGACGGTCTTGCCTGTCTCCATGCAGGGATCGCAGCGGCCACCATCTTCAGCCCCAGCAGGGACGTGGCTGTGTCCCAGAGTCAGCTGCGCGTGGCCTTCGACGGGGACGCTGTGCTTTTCTCGGACGAGTCGGAACGCATCGTGAAGGCCCATGGGCTGGACAGGTTCTTTGAGCATGAGAAGGCCCACGAGAACAAGCCTTTGGCCCAGGTGCTCCACACACTCCTTGGAACCCCTGGGTAGAGGAAGGAAGCTCCCCAGAACCTACCCTTGGCTGGAACCTCCAGCCCAAAGCCAAACCCCATGCTCAGCCGGGAATCCAGCCAGGGCCCCTCCCCAGGCTTCCAGCGCTCCTTCCTCTCACCTGGCCCCTGGCTCCCCTCAATGAGCTTCTGCCTCTTCTCTGAGCCCCCACCCCTCTCATGGCATTCCTACCCCCTCTTCGAAGCCCTCGTTCTCCCTTGAAGCTGCTCTCTGAAGCCCCTGCCTCTTCTTTGCAGCTCCTTTATGAGGTCTCCACCCCCTCCCTGGAGCCCCCATCCTCCTCTAAATTCCCATCCCTCCCTGAATGCCTCACCCTCTCTCTCTGAAGCTGCCCTTCCCTCTCTGAGATTCCCCCACTCCTCTGAGCGGGGTCCCGCCCTCTCAAGAAGCCCCTGATTCCCTCACTGGAGGAAAGGAAGAGCCGGACAAGTGCCCCTCCTAGGGACAGGGAGATCCAGCTGGTGTGGGGTCTGGGGCAGCCCATCTGCTCTGGGCCATACCAGCCCTTCTCACTTTCTGTCTTCCATCCACTGGCTGGGGCCTCGGGGATCCTCGCTCACCCTCAAACTACTCAGAGTCTCCCTGAGAGCATAACACGACCTAGAGCTGGTGGAAATTCCCTGGGGTTGGAACTACTGGGATTCACCAGCCCTTGGGGAGCTCCTGTCTATGCTTTTAACAAAAATCTGGGTGCTTAATAATCCCAAAATCCCTCTCTCCAAGAGCTCAGCTGGCTTTAGCTATGACCCCCAAGTATTCATTTCACTTCCTTTCTTTTTTGTTCCTTCCTAAATCCTTGGGAATCCAGAGGAGGACAGTTTGTTTTTGTTTTTTTTCTTCCCCACTAAATGGGAGGCAGAGCCCCAGGAGACCTCTGCTTTCCCCAGGTCACCCAGTAAGTGAGAGGTCTCCAAGATCAGAAGCCTACCTTTCCTGATGTCCAACTGCTGTTACGGTTTTCTTCTTTATCATCTTCTGGTTCTTTATTCACACTTCCTCATGAAGTTTCATTGTTCCAGGCACTGTAGAAAGTAAATCCTTTCCCTGACCTTACGAAACTGGAGCACGACACTCTGAGCCACCCACATGCCCCAGGAGCAGTGTTGATACTGAGCAGTGATTCATTGATCTGTCTGTCCCAGTAGTTTGCAACTAGAGTCCGTTCTGTTTGAAGGGTGCCCGTGCCATAGTTACTAAATATTTTTAATCTCCTCCCTGCTGATGAGTACAAAAGCCACATTTACAGCGCTGTAGGACAGACACCCATATCTCTGGTGGGCTGTTATAGTAGCAGTGGCCCAGGTATGTTTTTTCTGACACAGGTATATTTTTTCAATCACTGCAGTGTGGACACCTAGACTGCCATGGATACCAACAATCCAACTGATGCATGCAGTGGCCCGAGCAGGCAGAGCAGAACTGAGAGGTTTAGGAATCCTGAAAAACATTCCAACCACAAACAGCAAGATCTTAGTGCTACAGGGAGGAGCCCAGCTGGTGAGGGGGCAAGTGTTTGGGAGATGGGTAAGCTCACAGCGTTCCTTTGCCTTCTTGTAGGGCCCCTTAAAGGGCTTCCTGGAGGCACTGGGGAGACTGCAGAAGAAGTTCTACTCTAAGGGCCTGCGACTGGAGTGTCCAATCCGCACGTACTTGGTGACAGCACGCAGTGCAGCCAGCTCGGGGGCCCGGGCTCTCAAGACCCTGCGCAGCTGGGGCCTGGAGACGGATGAGGCCCTGTTCCTTGCAGGAGCACCCAAGGGTCCCCTTCTGGAGAAGATCCGCCCGCATATCTTCTTTGATGACCAGATGTTCCACGTGGCTGGGGCTCAGGAGATGGGCACGGTGGCCGCCCATGTGCCTTATGGTGTGGCTCAGACATCCCGGCGGACCTCACCTACGAAGCAGGCCCCCCCTGCACAGTAGCTGAGCCACCAGCCTCGCTGACCCGCAGGCATGGTTCCCTGTCCTACACGTCACCCAATGGACCCTTCTGGTTCCTCATCTCTCCGCCCTTCTGCATGTCTGCCCTCATCCCTGGGAGTGAGGTACCTGTAGGAAACTGTGCAGATGGGGCCAGCATCCTCACCAGCCCTCCTTTTAGGCAAATACTGTGCCATGATCCTGATCTTACTCAGAAAGTAAGACTGTGCAGAGTAGCTGAGTTTCGGAGGGAAGTTGATGAGACTGAGGGTGGGAGAGTCAGAGCAGCCAGGATGCCTCAAGGGGGCCTTCTGAAACTAGCTCAGTGTAGTACAAAGAGGTGGGATCTGGCTCCTAAGCTCTGTCTTGGCATTAAGTGTATGACTTTAAGTTCCTTTGCAAGGGACTCTAGGATGAGGTGACCCCCTGACGTGCACTGGTGAACACTCCATCCTTGAAGGAGCCCCTGCAGCCCCTTTGTCACCATTTCCTGGGGGAGAATGCTCACTGCTTGATGAGTCAGTTTCCCTATCTTTTGGGTGGTTTTCAATTTAGCTAAAGAAGCTTGGTTTTTATAAGATCGCCCTCTTTGAAGGAAGCATGGTGTGCCGGGGCTGCTGCTGATACATACGGCGCTTTTGTACAAGTTATAGAAGGACGAGGTCTTTGGAATGAATTATGAAAAGGGAACCCTCCCTGTGAACTGACCCAGACCACACTGGGGTACACAGCTTGGATAGCAGGATATAGGCTGGATTTCAGCCCCCACTGGCTCCTCAGCCCAGAAGCCTTTGTCAAATGGGCAAGACGCACAATCATCCACAGCCACTTCCCTACGGTTTTACACGTTTGGGAACCACTGGACTAGATGACCTGTCTGCTTGATCCCCTGACTCATCAAGGGTCAGCAGAAAGGTGCTGTGTTTGTGGAAGGAGTGAGGGAGTGAATTTAACTTGCATGCAAACTCGCCTATGGCCAGCAGGGGGCACTGCCGGATCAGTGCTTCCTTTGCTGTTGTTTTTTAGCCAAATTTAATTTGTTCCTCCCTGCCAACTCCCTCATCTCAGCCCCTACTCCCTCAGCGATTGTATCCTGCTGTGCTGCCAAGCAGCCCTGTTGGTGAAGGAAGAAGTGGAGAATTGGTGTTTACCGTTGTGAGCTCAAATGCAGGGACGAAATCTCAATGACTGAAGTGGGAGGTCAATCCAGGATTAGCCTGAGGGAAGGCCTGCCTGGGGTGATGTAGAAAGTGCGAAGAGGTCTGGTTTGGGCCGTGACTGGCTAGTGAGGAAGGAGCTGAAATGTGCACTAGCAAGAGTCTCCAGCTATGGGATTCTGAGTGGAAGTGGTGACCTCTTTGTCTCTCAAGATGCTGGGCAAGGGACTCCAGGACGAGGTGACTGGTGAACTTGCAGGAGCCCCTACAGCACTTTTGTCACCACGTACAGGAGAGAACTCTCATTTCTGGATGAATCAGCCTCTTCCTTTGCTGACCAGCCTGGCTCTCTCTGGAGAGAAGGTGGGACCTCCAGTGATTAATCCCATGGGAAGACCCAAAGGGGTAAGCAGACATCAGTGGTGGGGACTGATTGTCTAGTTCCCCAGGGGGAATCCCAGCTATGAGCAACTACTTTATGAAGAAAGTGGAGGTGTGTGCAGGGAGCTGGAATGCTTCTGGGGGCATCACTCTGGGAAAGGAGTGATGGGCAATGTGGAGCCTGTCCTTTGTCCTTCTGTCCGAAGGGCCCAGGTTCTGAGCAGGGTAGGGCATAGTAGCAGAGTCAGAAAAATAACCCAGGAGGGAGAACAAAGTGAGAAGACTGAGGTGGCTCTGGAAATGAGCAACAGTTGGTGTGAGAAGAGGCCTGGACTCAGCTGGCCTTCTGAGTGCTGGAGCAGCCAGGAGTCTGACTGTGGGGAGGAGGAGTAAGGCTGTGCCGGGGATGGGGAGCAGAGGGGTGCTGAGGCAGCCCTGCTGATGCTTTATCAGGGAATGGGCAAGTGATAAGGATGTCCTTGCACAAGGTCATTCCCATCCACAGCCAGGCCCCTTCCAGCCAACAGAGGAGGCGTCCGGTCAGAGGACCTGGTTTGGAGCTCTTTCCTCTGCCGAAGCTCTCAGCCCAGCCAGAGATATGGCAAGACCTGAGGACAGCCTCAAGTAGATGAAAAGGAAGTAAGAGAAGGAGCTCAACCCCAATCACCTTTGATCTTGGCTGAACCATACCAAGGCCTTCTGCCTCGCTCCCTCTGGGGTCAGAATCACCACTTGGATGAGCCTCCGGGGCTCTCAGCTGGTAGCCGTGAGAGGCCTGAGAGGCTGGGCACAACCAAGGCTCACTGCTCGGACTCGGCTGAGGGACCAGGGTGGACACGTGCACTTCGAGGGCAGCACCAGATGTCACCTAATTAAGAAACACCCCAGGGACTCTGAAGAGGTCCTGCCTCTACGGCCTCATGATCATAGGGCTGATTCTCCCAGGGCTCTCAGGAAGCAGGAAGATATGATGTGGAAAGCAGCAAGATAAGGTGCAGTAAAAGCTATCTATTTCACTGGAGCACTGTTAATAGACTCGGACAGCCCTGGGCAATGAGAGACACAAGGGTCCAAATTCTATAATTGAAACCATAAATGAGCATTTCAGGACTGGAAAAGAGCTTTCAGTGGCTGCAATAAACGGCCAGAAGTCCTGGGGGCAGGCTGAGGCAGCTGCCAGACACACCTGATTGTTTCAAGTGGTGAGGAGGTGTGCTGGGGAGAAGAGTGTTTATTGTGTCAGCAGGCAAATTAAAAGTGAACGTGAAAGAGGAGAGTGAAAAAAGCTGGCTTAAAACTCAACATTCAAAAAACGAAAATCCGGTCCCATTCCAAAAACGGTGTCCGGTCCCATCACTTCATGGCAAATAAATAGGGAAACAATGGAAACAGTGACAGACTTTGTTTTCCTGGTCTCCAAAATCACTGCAGATGGTGACTGCAGCCATGAAATTAAAAGATGTTTGCTCCTTGGAAGAAAAGCTATGACCAACCTAGACAGCATACTAAAAAGCAGAGACATTACTTTGCCAACAAAGGTCCATCCAGTCAAAGCTATGGTTTTTTCAGTGGTCATGTATGGATGTGAGAGTTGGACCATAAAGAAAGCTGAGCGCCGAAGGATTGATGCTTTTGAACTGTGGTGTTGGAGAAGACTCTTGAGAGTCCCTTGGACTGCAAGGAGATCCAACCAGTCAATCCTAAAGGAAATCAGTCCTGAATATTCATTGAAAGGACTGATACTGAAGCTAAAACTCCACTACTTTGGCCACCTGATGGGAAGAGCTGACTCATTGAAAAAGACCCTGATGCTGGGAAAGATTGAAGGCAGGAGAAGAGGACAACAGAGGATGAGATGGTTGGATGGCGTCACCGACTCGATGGACGTGAATTTGAGCAAGCTCTGGGAGTTGGTGATAGACAAGGAGGCCCGGTATGCTGCAGCCCATGGGGTCACAAAGAGTCAGACTTGACTGAGCAATTGAACTGAACTGAGGTAAATTAAAAAGCCATACAAGCACCAGAGCCGCTGGCCCAGCCAGGGACTGCAGTGATGGAGCAGAGAGGACATAGCTTCTAACCAACATCTTGGCACTCCTGCAGAACATGTCCCAGGAAATACTTACCAACCAAGTCCCAGACCCAGTGGAAACTGCCAGTTAGTAAAACAGAAGCCCTGTAACTACGCACTGAGACTTCCATGGTCACTGCAAAACAGTCCTCTCTGCTTTCTGAGAACCCAGTCAGAGTGATGGGGATGTAGCAGAAGATGCCAGAGGAAGTTGAAATCAGAAAGAACTCTAATCCAAGGTGGATTCCGCGTTATAGTGATATCCAACTGGTGTGCACCAGTCCAGACTAACTGGTGCTTATAATGCTGAAATGCCTCCATAAGTTATAAATAGCATTGTCCTGAGCCCCTGAGCACCCCTCCCCATTGTCTCAGCTCCCCTGGCCCCTCTGTCTTCTTACGTTTCAGCAAAAAGGGGCTATGAGAGTCTGTGCCCGCGTGATGGATGGCGGTGTCCACTCTGGTGGTCTCCCGTCTCTGCTGGCTTTAGAGAGGTAAAGTGAGTTGTCCAAAGTCACACATCTAGGAAGTGGTGGCAGGAGAACTCGAGCTCATGTCTGTCTGATGCTGGGAATCAGGCTCTTAACTCTTCTGCCAAGTGGCCCATCCACATGCATAGATGTGACGCTTCTTAACACCGGACAGTCTGTTGAACATATTGACTCCCTGCCTGGCAAAATGCCACAATAGACTTGAGTGGGTACATCTTTGTTGCAGCTTCCTAAACAGCGAAGAAGAATTTAAGCTAGAATCAAACATTTGCAGACCTTCTGAAGCACCTCTAGACACCCCCACGTTCTGTAGAGCTCCGTATGTTTGGGCTGATGCTGGGTTTGGCAAACTGTGGCACCTTGGGCCACATCTAGCCCACCACCTGTTTTTCTTTTTCATGATTTTCTTTTTTTATTTTTGGCTGTGCAAGGTCTTCGCTGCTGCGTGGGCTTTTCTCGAGTTGCGGCAAGCAGGGGCTACTCTTTAGCTGTGGTGTGCGGACTTCTCCTTGTGGTGGCTTCCCTTGCTGTGGAGCAGAGGCTCTAGGGCGTGTGCAGGCTTCAGTAGTTGCAGCACTGGGCTTAGTAGCTGTGGCTCCAGGCTCTAGGGGGGCCTCTGGCAAGTGCCTCAACTTTCCTGGGGCTATTTTCTCCCCTCAGTCGTGTCAGACTCTTTTTTGTCGCCCCATGGACTGTAACCCACCAGGATCCTCTGTCCATGAGATTTCCCAGGCAAGAACAGTGGAGTGGGTTGCCATTTCCTTCTGCACCTACCATCTGTTTTGGTAAAGAAATTTTATTGGAATATAGCCACGCCCATTTGTTTACATATGTTTTCAGCATTTGAAATACAGCAAGAGAGTTGAACTGCTTCAGCAGAAACCAAGGAGCTGAAATTTTTCCTCTGGCTCTTTGTGGAAAGAGTTTGCTGACCCCTGGGTTAAGGCAAACATCCCTGGCCCACTCCTCAGTGGGAGAGACCAGCTTACATCCACCTAAGCATTTGGAGGTAGAGGCTGGCTAGGTTGCAGAGGGGGCAGCAGCAGTGGGTTCTGTGCCCATCTGTGGGCATCATCAGGGATTATAGGCACTGAGAATCTTGATGCTAAACACAGTAGGCCCTTAGCATCTGAGGACTGAAGGTTTCAAGGTCTGTTTTCAAGTGGCATGGCGCACTGTAATTTGGAATTTTGATCCACACATATGATTTGAGTGCTGGGTGAGGGGCAGGGAACGGGACCCCTGGCTAAAGCTGAGCCCAGCTGGCTAACTCGTATCTGCTCAGCACAGCCGTGTGGTTCTCAGCTCATGATTGCCCCTGAGGAGTCTCTTGAGAAGTGAGAAGTGCTGGTAGATAGATGGGCCTTAGGTAAATATTAGTTTGGGATAAAGTGAAGTGTCCCCTGTTGACTTAAGGACCCGGATCTAATAAGTCATCCACATGCTGTCTGTGGAAGCAAGAACTAGTTCTTCACAAAGAGGATTCCAGGGAGAATTTCAGCTGGCTCAGAAGTTACTGATCATGTAAGATAAAACTCAGGTGAAAGCTGGAATGACAGTTTTCTTGTGGTTGTCAGAGAGTAACAGACATATATACCCTCATGCTGGAATTGTGGATCAGGAGAAATCTGGAGATTTAGGGAATGGCAATGTAGAAGTGGTCCTACTTACTGCCATGACTGCTGGCACTGTTCCATAGTAGAAGGATACCCCTCAATGCTAGGCACAGAGCTGGCTTCAGAATCCTTCTCAACCCAGCATTCTAGGCAGCCACCACTGGTGGGCTGGAGTTGACACGAAAGATGAAAAACCTGTTTTGCCATCCCTATTGGTGGTGGATATTGCTCTCCAGGGGGGCATGCAAGGCCCTGAATGTTCGTCCTCTGATGCGTGCTGCAACTCTGAGGATGCCAGGGTCTCATCTGACTAGCGGAGAGGAGGGAGGGAGCGAGAGGACGGAGAATGGCATCCTGGGTTGGCGGCATCCTTAGAAGGGGTGCCTGTGGACTTCCTTGGTGCTCCAGTGGTTAAGAATCTGCCTGCCAATGAAGGGGACACAGGTTCAATCCTTGGTCTGGGAAGATTCCACATGCTGTGGGTCAGCTAAGCCCATGAGCCACAACTATTGAGCCTGTGCTCTAAAGCCTGCGGACTGCAACTACTGAGCTTCCATGCTCTAGAGCCTGTGCTCGGCAACAAGAGGAGCCACCGCGATGACAAGCTGGTGCATCACAGAGAGTACCCCCACTCTCCACAACTAGAGAAGACCTGTTGCAGCCAAAATGGAAATAAAATAATTTTTAAAAAATAAAAAAAGAGGTGCCTGAGAAGCAATGTCTCAGGTTTCACCGTCTTCAAGCAAAGTACAAATGCCCTTCCCACCAGTAGGGGGCACTGCAGGCCAACACGCTGCGGCTGGCTGTGGTTGGAGGTTTTCTTCGCTTTTCTCTCCTTCCGTGTTACTTGGTGCTGTGCTGGACTCCTGCACGTAGCTTTGTCAGAAAGGACTGGGTGCTTTGTTAAACACACCTTTGTGATGAGCTGCTCTTACCAACAATCACTGTGATGGTGTGTATGGACACACTCATATGAATATGTGCAACAGGACAAAAACTGCACTTGTGCATGCTTTTTGTACATGTTGTGGTTTTGTGGGTTTGTATAATGTTTTGTGGGTGTGTATAATGGGGCAGATAACTCTGCTAATGACTGAACTTGTGTGTGTGTGTGTGTGTGTGTGTGTGTGTGTGTGTGTACAGGATGGTTATCTCTGTTAACCAAGGGTCCTGGGTATACTGATGGCCAGCCCTGCTTCCTGGGACTAGCCCTGGCTCTTTCTGTCATCTCATGGGCCTTTGCACATGTGCAGCGTGGGGCCCTCTGAGGCCAGGCCCCTTATCTATCTCTCCAACTTCTAGCCTCTGGCCAACGAGGTCTTGGCTCCTCACCCTCTGCCTCCCACCCTTCATCCCTGCAGCCTTGGAAACAAACTGGTAGAATCACTTCTGACTGCACCTGCCTCACCATCTACATTTATTTCTTCCCTTCCCTTGACAGTCCCAAGGCCAACATGTACAGTTGGGCAGATTATGCACTGCACAAATGCAGATGGAGCCATTCACACTGTGAGTGATACCTCCTAGGCATCTATAAAAGCTGCTAACAGTACCCAGCTCCCCTGGTCATCTCATGGCCATAGCTAGGAAAGCTGCCTTCTTCCCTGCCCTCCTGGTCCAGCCTGGCCTAGACTGGGATTGTCCTCCACTTGAGTGTTCTGGTCTGATCCAGAAGGAACTTACCCTTGGCCTTGCTCAGGAAGTATATGATGGGTCATTCCCCAAGAGAGCTTTGGATTCAGTTTATGAAAATGAAATATGGCTGGCAACTTTTCGGTCACAAACCAAAACTCTGCAGACAGGGACCCTGATTTCCACACTCCTGGCCTGCAGGTGAATACATCTTCATGGGCCAACTGTTAAGATGGGTCTGCTATGGAATTAGGGTAGAAGCCTCAAGGCTGGGTGTGTAGCTGCATCAGATAGAAAATGATGAGGTCACCATAGACTGGACGTCTGGGCCAGGCCACAGACTCTGATGCCTCCAAGGGCCAGGCAGGAGACATAAATGAGCAAGAGGATTAGGCAAGGACTGTAGCAAAATGGGGAACACAGACATTGTTGTCTGACATGGTTGCTGCTATATGGGAATGTGGGCTGCTGTTGCCAAATATTCCTCCCCATTTTCCAAGAGAAGCTAGAAATTTGGACTTTTAAATGTTGGCAGCTATTATGAATTTAGAAAACACTGTGTGTGCCAAATAAAACACATCTTACAGGCCAAATCC